TGAGAGGAGAGGGACCGGTCAGGGTGCTTAGACTTTGGAGGGGCCGGGTCAGGGCCAGGCCGGGGCTTGTGGCTGCTATTTTCACTGTGCGCAGGCTTTCTTCCATCTTTACTTAGAATGTTTTAGCTTATAAAAATGGAACCTTGAAATAGTCTCTTAAACCACAGACCAAAACATGTAGGTGGATGTGTATATACACGAATATGGGTGTATCTCTGGTCACACACACCCAGTTTTGACCACTTTGCTTCATTACTACATTATGATAAATGGTAAATCAAAAATCTTATTTAAAAAAAGCTGTAGTAAACGACGCAATCAGCAGCCAGGTATAGACTCTACATCCCAAACCAAACACGGTGTATATATTTACAGAGAAAATCTTTTTCCTCAACAACCCTCAACTGTAAAGGTAATTTTTTTTTTTGTTGCTTTTGTACAAACACTATCTGGTAACAGTTTTACCGGTTACAACTGGGAAGGCATCTGGAAGAAGGTCCTCTCTTTGTCTTTCTCTCTCCCCTTTCTCAATGAGGCTCCGAGCTCTGCCTGGCGGACATTCCCACACAGTGCTGGTTTTGAAAGGTAGTCAAGACAGTCGCCCGTTCAGGACGGGTCTCCACAGTCCTGCCCCGGGGCCTGCCCCGTTACAAGGCCTTTTTGTGAGGGCTGCTACGCAAACTCTCTTTCCCCCGCCTCTGCCGTACCACAAAGTCCTTCTCATTAGAAAGGGAGATGGGGCGGTCAGTGTTTGGGGCTGGGGATGGCTTGGTCACGTCTCTGCCCACGTTCTGTTTCCTAGTTGGGGGAGGCTGGGCTGGGGCAGGGTCCTTCCCTTTGGTTTCCCCTACGGTGGCAGTCACCGAGAGCGCCCGGTCCCGGTGGCTGGCTCCGCCCACGGTGTTTGGGTCGGGGTGGTGTGACTCCAAAGCCAGGGTGGAGACCCGGAAGGAGGGCAGGGAGTCACTCTTTGTCATGTGGGTTCGGCCCTCCCCCGCAGGCTGAGCCTTCCTATGGTCCCTGTTGCTGGGGGCTGGAGGCTCCAGCGCGCCCCCGGCAGCCTTGGCAGAAGAGATGTCGCTGCTGGCTGTAGAGGCCTCTCTAACTCCGGTCCTGGTTTCAGGGAAGCTGGAGGAGCAGCTCAGAGACTTTTCAGGGAGGGCCGTGGATCGGAAAGAACTCTGCCCGGTGGCTGAGGGGGAGCGTTTCATGCCGCTGGGCTTGTCTGCCTCCGTCGGTGGCTTCTGGGGACCGGACCCTTTCCCTCTGGCCTCAGGGAAGCCCTTCCCCACCGCTGCGGCTGGCCGCTCCGCGCCTTTCAACCGGGCCTCGCTTTGCGCAAAGGAAAGGTCGGCCTTGAGCTTGTCGCCCTCTGCGGGAGCATAAAGTGCTTCGGTGCATTTCTTCCCTTCCGCCCTTCTGTCGGTGGTGGCGGCCGGCTGACTCAGGCTTTTGTCTGTCTGTCTGTTGTCTGTCTGTTTGCTCAGGGTGGGGCAGTCTTTCACAGTGGATGGTTTGGAGTGCTTTGGAGACAGGGTTTGCTTTTCACCGACAGTGGACAGTTTCTGGTCCGCTGGCTCACTAGGCCCTGGGTGTCCCGACCTTGGCAAATGCACGGGCTTCTCCAGCACCTCGAGGGGCCGCCCACCACTGGTGGATTGTGGCTTGGTGTCTAGAGGACCCCTGTCAGTGTGCAGTGGGACAGAGGGCCCACTTTGTCCCTGGCCAATTCCATCGTTGGCTTTGTTCTGGGAGCCTGGGGTGGCAGGAAACACATCCAGCCCACTCTTACTGTGGCCCTTCCCTTCTCTGCTACCGCTGCCGAGGGACTGAGTGGCAGGCTCTTTGCCCTTTGTGGCCCCAACACTTGGCTTCTGAGAGGAGAGGGACCGGTCAGGGTGCTTAGACTTTGGAGGGGCCGGGTCAGGGCCAGGCCGGGGCTTGTGGCTGCTATTTTCACTGTGCGCAGGAACAGGCTTGGGAGGGTCCTGGGGGCTCGGGCTGGGCTCTGCAGTGCTGGGCTTGGCCCCCGGCTCTCTGCCAGAAGCGTGGCTTGGGGAACTGCAATGCTGCCTGGCAGCCGGGCTGGGCAGGTCTTTGGAGGTCAGAGGGGGCGGAGGGATACTGCTGGGATGCCTTTGTAGAGGCTGCTCTTTCCTTTCAGGTTCCTTGGCACCATCTTTCTGCAAAGATGGGAAACTGGAGAGCTTTTCACTCTTCTCACTCTCAATTCCAGGTGGCTGCAGAGACCGCCTGGCAGGAAGGGCTTCGGGCTTGGGTTCCACGCCACGCCTCACCTTGCCTAGCTCCTTCTCACAGGGAATTCCAGCTGAGTGCAGAGAGTTGTCATCTCTGGGCGGGGGCCTCGCTTCATCTGGGCCATCTTTGTGGTTCGTTTTCCCACCCAGCGCCCATGCTTTCTCCATGGCCTGGGTCTGTGTATAGAAATCTGGGTGGGTCCTGCCCAGAGAGAGGAGGTTTTTGGAGTTGTCACTGGTTTTCACAGTTTCTGAAGAGCACAGTTCCATGGAGGGCTCTCTGCGTATGTCAGTCCTCGCAGCAGAGCGCTCACTTCTGACTGTGGAAGGGCCTCTTTCAGACGATTCCCTCAGGCCTGGCTTCTCCCTTGACGGGGAAGCTTCAGGTGGGAGTGGGCAGCGTGGCCTGGCCAGGTCAACGCTGTGGAGGTTCTGCCCTAGGCAGGTCAGAAGCTTGGGGTCGGTGGTGTGGTCTTGGCATCTGGGGGAGCTGCTCTCTCTCTGTTGGGGATTGCTTTCCATGACTGTTGCGGGGCTCCTGGCAGTAGGATGGGGACCTTTCCTGTCCCTCTTTAACTCTGGGTCAGGCAGGGAAACTGCTGGTGAATTCTGGAGACCCCGGCTGGGGGGCAGGAACCGAGGCTCAAGCAGGTAGGATTTATTCATCTTTAAGCTGGAAGGAGAAAGCTCTCTCGCACTGGTGGTATCACTCCTTTTCCCACTGCTGTTGGGGAGAGCTGGTGGCACAGAGGGCCTCACGTCACCACTTGGGCTAGGGCTCTGTGCAGACTCCGGGGAAAGCAGTTCTGTCTTGGAGGCCTGAGGTCCGGACAGGAGAGCAATGTCCAGAGTGCCCTCAATCGGCTTCAGGCATGAGACAGACCTACCTTCCAGCTTATACTCGGAGGGGCTCTTCCTAACAGGGGACTCAGGAGCAACCAAGCCAGGCTTCTCCGTTCCACTGTCCACCCGGCCTGTTAAGGCCTTGAGGGGAACGAAAGAGACGGCACTCATCTGAGCTGCATGGGTGCTGCCAACAAAAGCTCGGCTCTCAGAAGCTGGTGGGGGCTCCTGCTGCCCACCTATGGGTCGGACGGGGTTCCCTGGCAGGCATTCGTGGGTGCTAGCTGTCATCTTGGGCTTCAGCACAGGGCAGAGGTTGTCCTCTTTGTCCTCAAGTGACATTTTCTTTCGGAGGTAATCGATGTTGGCCAGCTTGCTGTCTAACTTCTCACATCGGAGAAGCTCCTTGGCCTGGGGGGCCTTCTCCGTGCCTTCCCCCTTCCCGGAGATGCCCCTGTCGAGGGAGTGGCAAAGACCATCCTGGAGGGTGCCAGGAGCAGGGGCCCGTCTGAAGTCCCCGCCACCCTGGCCGTGCTCCACAGGCACCGGGCCATCCGAGATCGCACCCTCGCTGACACGCACGCTGGCCTGCTTGTGAAGAGCGTCCTTCAGCAGGCTGCCCAGCGGTGGCGCCTCCTGCATAGCCGCTTTGTTTTCAAAGAGACTTGACCTTTCCACAGCCTTCGGATAGATTTTCTTCTCTCTCTCTTCCAGCTTAAACAGAGCAAGGTTTTCCAAATCACTCCCGGGTCCATGGGATTTCTGGTGGGATTCCTGTTTCTCTGGGAAGCCATCTGGCTTCTTCACCACCACCTTGGCCTTCAGCTTGTCGCGGTCCAGGTCATCCACAGACTCCTGGCGGCCCAGCTTCCGGGAGACCGGGCGTTTCAGGCAGCCTTGCTCCACGGGCCGGGCGCGGCTCAGTGGTGGCGCGTCGCACACGTTCTCATCCAGGCTCTGCAGCTGCGCCTCCCGCTGGGACTGCTCCCGCTGTACCTCCTCTTGGGTCACCTCCAGGCTATGCTTGCGGGAGCACAGGTGTTTCTTGTCACTGCCGTAAGAGGGCGACAGCTTCTCCTCGGACTGCACGCGCTTGAGCAGCGGGGACCTGGGCGGCTCCGCACTCTTGGGCCTCACGATGTGTCTGACGATGGTGGGCGGGGAGTGCATCTTGCTGGGAAAGGCTTGCGCGATCTTGGAATTGCCCAGTGAGTGTCCCAGAAGAGGGGATGGTGACCGCTGCGGGGAGGTGGGTTGCGGGGTTGGAGAGGGCGTCCGGGCCAGCGGGGACAGTGGGATGTTGCCAGCCGACTTTCGCCTTCCGGACCGGTACCGCTGCCCGCCGAGTTTGGGTGCCAGACCGTGGAGAGTGCTGGGCCGGATGTGCCCGGACCCTGCCGGAGAATTAGGGGCACTAGAACTAGGAGAGCTGCTCTGGGAGGAATTAGTACCTGTGGGTGGAAAACAGAAGGCTGTGAGCATCCATGGTCATTTTCCCCTTTTTTTCCACGGTTGTAGCCCAGACTGTATTAGGTAAGGCCAGGTAAGGTCAGCAAATTGTCTTAGCATTTAACTAGTGGAATAAACACTTTTCAGATAAACGTCTCCACACCAAGGTTTAGTCCCCAACTTCTTATTTGATTGGTCAGAATAGCCACATCTTATGACCTCTCTATAAATCTGTCTTTATAATTTATACCTTCAGCCTGCTTTCTTTCAGCTGGAACAAGCTTCATGTTTTTTGGGACCTCACATGACTTTACCTCCTCCCCTCTGCTGTTTAGACCAGGAGACTCACTCACCAGATGGGAAGTCAGGGGTGGAGCGGTAGCTTGGTGTTGGAGACCGGGGAGACAAGCTATGAGTGGGGGAACCTGGGAGGCTCTCGCCCGACGACAGGGATCTGTTCAAGCAGGAGAAACTTCGGCTGGTGTGGAGTAAAGGAGAAGGCTGCTTGGCTAGCTTTTTGAAAAGAGATCTCCTCCTAGAGCAAAAACAGGAAAAAATTGTTCAGAGTCTTCTTTCAGAACTACTCCTGCCTCCCCAAAATACCAGTGTGCTTAGTTCAATAACTCCGTGTGAGGGACAGGCATACAACAGTAGATCCTGTTAAAGAGCGGAACACCACTTTCCTATTAGAAACTTTCTTAGGGCATGTAAAGGAAGAGCATTTGATAGTAGACAGTGGAGGCTCTCTCAATTCCAAACACTGAAGAAGAGTTGGGAAAATAGGAAAAATATAAAATGTGTTTAAAATACATTCATTTACTTGTTAGGTTTATGAGGAGGATGTTCTTTGCTTGAAAGCTTCTGAGTACCTACCCCTAAATATGTGGACACAATTTAACTAAGAGGTAATACAAAGTAAACCTCTGGAAGCAAAACCATTGTACTGGAAATCAAATTATTTAATGGTGATAGGCTAGGCAGAGGCCAATGAAGGGCTATTTGCTGTGCTTATTCCACTGTGGGCTCTTGAATATTCCTAACAACAATGCAGGCTGTACAATGACATAGAAAAACCGAGAAAGGCGAAGCTGAAGCGTATCATATCAGCAGGGCAGCAGACACTGTACTGCAGCACAAGCAAATGTAGACTTGCTACTCAACGAGCACATCTTAAGGCAAAAAGCACAGCTTCTGACAGCTTAGTAGGGTATCAGGCTGTGCAGAGTTCTTTTACCATATAAGCCTATATATGGTAAGATCTAACCCACTCCACGTGAGCTTAAAACAGAAAGTTTCTGGTTGCCAGCCCTTGAAACAATTTGTTCTAAATGATTTAAAGCACAGCCAAAATGTAAAGCATAGTAATAAAGAGAAGAACTGGTGTGTGTGTAATTTTAATCAAAGTAGTAAGTGTACTTGGGTGAAAAAGTCAAATAGTTCTATAAATGTACAACGAAAAACAGCAACTCCTCTACTGGAGTTTTTCTCTACTCCCCAAAGAAGTCGCTTTGTATTCTTTTACCTGTTTTTTCTCCCATTTGTCTACATATTGCTAAATGTTTGTACACTGCTATTTTTTAGTTTTTCAGTTTTAGAAATTATCTGTTGATTTCCTACTATGAAAGATGATAATTAAGCTCTTACACAACACCCTTCTACCTTGCAACCAAATGTATTTCCCCTTTTCCACTCTTCCCAATATAGTGAAAGCAAAATTTTTGGTTAGAAAATTGGCCAATATTGCATTTTATAGTATAAATATTGTTCACAGCTGGGCCATATGAAACATAATTCTGTTCCTTTCTTGTATAACATTATTGTTTCCCCCCAGAGTTAATACATGGTTTTTCATTTGCTTGTTTTTCTACATTTCTATCATCAAAAATCTTTCTAATATGATGTGACTCATCAGGTCCAATTGGGTAAAGAAGAAATGCTGTGGCATTGCAAAGGAGGCACATCCAGAGAGCTGCCTAGAAAGAAACAGCCCTGCCAGAAACACATACATCTTGCTACTGTCTGCAAGCACCACAAAAAGATACTGATCGGTGCTTGCCAGGCTACAGAAGTATATAAGCTAGTTCGTTTTTCAGTGAGTAAAACAAAGTCCTTTTATTTCTAGGCTTATTTGGAATCTTTAAAGATACGGTTATTTTAGAATATCTGGCATTTTAAAAATAGCAACTGTTTGTTTTTTGATAATGTAAAGGACATTTTAAATGTAGATTTCAGGTGAAAAATTACTTGAAGATCCAGTTCCTCAATCCAACTCAACTGAAATCAAGTGAAGAGGCTTAAAAAACAGCAAAGGGCTTTTCCTGACATTCACACATGATAAAAAACAATCTGAATCCTCTACAATGTAAATATGTAAATCCTTTTACCATGGAAATTAATGCTATTATGAATATGGACTTTAATGTATACATATATGTGAACCATAACATAAAATTTCTCACAGAAAAATAGATCTTCTTCATATGTAAGCATTTAATTAAGGGGTAACTTTTCCCCAACATAGGTATACACCAAACTTAAAAAGAATACTGATTTTACTAACCTTTCGAGACTTTCCTTCTTCTTGGATTTCTTGCTCCGCCTCACCATCCGGCTCTTATAGCTGTTTCTCCTGGCTGGTCCAGTTTTGATGGATGTGTTTTCAAATGGGGTAGTAGTGATTGACACCTTATTCCCACTCTATAGAAAAGATGAGGTGGTATTAAAGGGAAATGCTGTGATGAAGCAAGATCAGAACAGAGATGAGAGATTCGTAGACAAATACAAATAGAAAGGAGCATACATATAAAAGGCCTTCTGTTTCTATATAACCCTTCAATCAAAGAAGTCCTGTCAGAACACAAACTGGGTAGAAGGCAAAATATGAAGGTTCTTTAAGAGGGTAGGCTCTGGGGTCCACAGATCTGAGTTGAAATCCAAGCTCTGTGCCCTTAGCAGCCTGCTACCCTCCCTACACCTCAACTTCCTATACCAATTAACAATATAATCCTACCTATCTCCTGGGGCTCATTTGAGGACCACATGAGAGCAAGTCTGTAAAGCCTTTTGCACCCAGTGCAACACAAGGAAAGAACACTATAAACAAGATAACTACTTCTTCCACAAGTGTTAAGTAGTAATGTGCCCAGTGGCTGTCTGCTCTTGGTTGATTTTTCTTTTTTCTCCTTTTTGTGTTTTTCCTTTGGCCTAAAAATTGTAGAGTAACAAAACCAAATGAGACTTTTAATTTGAATTATTTTAAAAGGCTTCTTTTCTATCACCATAAAACCTGTCAGTTTGCAGAACTGAAACATTTATGCCAGCTAGTGGGAAACATCTTTTTAACCAGGTCATACAGGGTAAGGTAATTTCTGGTGAGTTTCGGTGTCCTTTCTCTCAATCCTGGGAAGAGGCTTGCTGGGCAGCCTCTAGGGCAACTGAGCACAGAGTCAGCAGTCAGGCCGAGGGGGGGCCCAGGGCAGGTGAGTAGTCCCTGGCATTAATTACCCTTCTTGAATTTCATAATAACCAGGGGGTAAACCTGTCTTTTCAAGGTCACAGATGGCCCCAATTACCATGAAAGTACAAGAGGTACAAGGAAAAGGATCTTTCTAAAGGCCCATGCATGGAAGATACCTAGAGCTCAGTTCAACGTGGTACCAAGTGAAGGGGAGTTAGGGTGAGTTAGGTATGGTGGCAGCAGAGGACGGAAAAGACAGGGAATGACTGTCTTAAAGATAGCATCTACTTTCCCCCTTGATTTGGGAAGTAATCCATGCTACAGTAAGAAGACAACAGGGAAGTATAAAAAAAACATTGAGAAGCTTACCACCCAACCACTAGTCATATTTCAGTATATTTCCTGTTCGTCTTTTCTCACGCATGTGTAAATAGGTACACATGTACACATGCTTTATAACTAATTTAAATCTCAGTTTATTTACAGCTTTATGTTGCTTTTTCATTGTGTATTATATAATTTGGAAAAAGTTTCCCTTTATCATTAAATAACCTTTAAAAACATGATTTTTACTGGCTGCGCAATATATCCTATCAGATGGGTGAATCAAAATTATGTAATATTTCCTTACTGCTATTGTTCTCTTTTTTGCTTGCTTGTTTTTTGAGACACAGTTTCGCTCTTGTTGCCCAGGCTGGAGTGTAATGGCACGATCTCGGCTCACTGCAACCTCTGCCTCCCAGGTTCAAGCGATTCTCCTGCCTCAGCCTCCCAGGTAGCTGGGATTACAGGCATGTGCCACCAGGCCTGGCTAATTTTGTATTTTTGGTAAAGACGGGCTTTCTCCATGTTGGTCAGGCTGGTCTTGAACTCCTGACCTCAGGCAATCTGCCTGCCTTGGCCTCCCAAAGTGCTGGGATTACAGGTGTGAGCTACCATGCCCAGCTGATGATTTCTTATGTTTAAATTATTATACGGTTTGATGTTGTCCCTTATTTAGTTTGGTTATTTGTATTTCTTTTTTTTTTTTTTTTTTTTTGAGATGGAGTCTTGCTCTGTCACCCAGGCTGGAGTGCAGTGGCCGGATCTCAGCTCACTGCAAGCTCCGCCTCCTGGGTTCACGCCATTCTCCTGCCTCAGCCTCCCGGTTATTTGTATTTCTTTAAGAAATGATTTATTCAGTCTTACATCCAGTTTAATATTGGAAGGTCTTAGTATTTTATTATTTGTTTTAGAGTTCTTTAATTTTTTTTAATTAAAAAAACTTTTTTGAGATGGGATCTTGCTCTGTTGCCCAGGTTGGAGTGCAGTGGTGTGATCACAGCTCACCGCAGCCTCGAACTCCTGGGCTCAAGCAATCCTCCTGCCTCACCCTCTGAGTAGCTGGGATTATAGGAGCGCACAACCACGGCTGACTTAGAATTCTGTGTATGTTTAAGATAATATACTTTCATACTTAATGTCATATTTGCAGAAAATATTTTAGGGAAAGAGGGCTTTAACTTCAACAAGAGAAAACAGTTTATTTTGTTTTCTATTGCAAAATAATAAACCTTCTTTATGCAAGCTCCAAAACATTAAAAATAAACCTTTATCTGATAGTAGAGATTGCATTTTATTTGTTCTTTAATGAGAAAAATCATTTTGTAAGTATTAAGGTCTACTATTGAAGGTTTTTTGGAGTGGGGTCTTCTCTTCACAAATTGAGGCTATGCTGAAATTTTAGTATTTCCTATGGTGAAGGAAAGGGGCAACAAGCATGGCGAGCTCCTGTGTCACTGATGTTCCTTCAGTCTTCTTCCATATGCAGAGAGTGGACGCGCAGAACCACAATGATCACTGGGGCTATTCCATCATGTGTGCCACTTGAGCTGGAATCCAGTTCTGCTCTTTTCTAATACAATTCAGGATTGACTTCTATATCTCTAGCCATAAGAGACTAACAATGCTACCCGGCATTTTAAAAGCATATATTTATTTTTAAACCATTTTCATATATATTCTCTAAATGTATTTTCATAAACAAGTCATAAGGGTTGTTTGTTTTACCCTCATGGCCTGGAAGAGTTTGTCATCCTTCCTTTGCAGATGAAGAAAACGGGTTCTGAGACAACGAGGCTCTTGTTTCCCAAGGTCACTGAGAGTCCAGTGGAAGACTGGCTCTCTTGCTGCTCACCCCCAATGTTCCTCCTACCAAACCCCGCTCCCTGTAGGAAGGGAATGCCCCCCAGTCCTCTCCACCTCTCCTGAGCCTGGCACAGTGTGTAGCTGGTACTTAATGAGTGGTGGTGAGGGAAACAGGCACTTGATTGACTTGTGGCATGGTCAAAGTATAAGACTGTCAAGATAAAATGAAGGAGCCATCAACATATAAAATTGTATGAGACACATATAAATCCTCAACATACTTATCATCAGAAAATAGTGAAGACCAGGGCTTGCTAAATGACAGCACATCACTAGACTCAGTACAAATGCTCCTACCATTATAAAGACCAAGCCCGGTTCTGTTTCTTGTCTCCACACACGGCTGTTCCAGAGGAAAATTAATTTAACTTACAGGCATATGTCAAAGACAACTTCTCTAAGGGGAAATACAGACACAAAGGATGCAGAGTACAATAATTAGGTTGGAAGTATTAATGGTTACAAAAATGGTAAATGATTGGAAAAGTGATAGGCGAGATTTGTGAAGCCTGCCACCTGGTGGATCCAGTCAGCTACAGCGAGTGCTACCTGAACTGCTCAAGGTGGCTTACTAGGTCGCTTTACCCACAATCAACTTCTCCTGATTAATGACTGACCTCATATAGGAGAATTTCTGTAGCACTTGTTGAAAAAAAATAACAAAAATGCAGCTGGCAGACTGTTGAATGTTCAATTAATTCACTTTTACTTTAAACTATTTTCATGACTGGTGCACAGTATGAAGAAAATTATTTCAAGTTGCTGGAATTGAATACAATAGCAGAAGTCAGGCTGTCCAATTTCTTCTCTCGGTCTGGCTCTAAGTTAGCTTATCAGTTTGGCCCTGGGTAACTCACCGAACGACCGCTTTTGCATTTCCTTCTCTGGAAAGTACAGATGGGGGATGGGCCCCCTGCATCCCTGTGTCCTCAACCCCTTCACTACCCAATCTTGGCCATCTGGCACACTGTATCCTCACATTAACCCAGGCTTCGGCCTGATGGTTCACTTGTATACCTCATAAATCTTGATATCTCCTGTCCTCGTGTTTACACATCTCATTATTTGGCCTAGACTATTGTGCACCCCTGACTAACTGAATCGCCACTCATCCATCAAAGCCTTGCATAGATAACCCTCAATTCTTTGACGCCATTCCTGTCCACGCTGGAGAAAAGCCATCCCTCTTTTGGAACTTCTGCCATGTTTATAGTCTGTTACTTAAGTTGAACATTTTGATTTTAGCCTGGCATTGCCACTGTTTCCCCCTGTGAACATTAGACTCTAAGTTACTGGCAACTGGAGACTTCATATGTAGAGCAGTGTGCTGTGGTGGAAAGTGCAGGCTCTGGAGCTACACCGCCTGGGTGCAAATCACGTTATGCTCCTTTCCAGCAGATAAGCTTAGGCTGCTTTGTTATCTTCTTCTGCTTTTGTTTTTTTTCATTTGTGAAATGGGAACATTTATATTTATAGCACCTACCTCAGAGGGTAACTGTTTGGATTACATGCATTTATTCCTGTAAAACCACTGACAAGAGTGTGGCAGGCATCAAGCGCTCTTGCCCCATTAACTATTATCCTTATGTGTCTTTTTTTTTTTTTTTCTTGAGACGGAATCTCACTCTGTCGCCCAGGCTGGAGTGCAGTGGCGCTATCTCGGCTCACTGCAACCTCTTCCTCCCGGGTTCAAGCAATTCTCTGTCTCACTGGGATTACAGGAGCCTACCACCATGCCCAGCTAATTTTTGTATTTTTAGTAGAGACGGGGTTTCACCATCTTGGCCAGGCTGGTCTTGAACTCCTGACCTCGTGATCCACCCACCTCAGCCTCCCAAAGTGCTGGGATTACAGGCATGAGCCACTGTGCCCAGCTCTTACGTGTCATTTTTGTGTGACCCTTGTGGTATTTTGCACAAGGCTCTGTGCATCTGAGGGGCTTGACAGATATGGGTGGATGGTAATCAAGCTATTTGATGGCCCCCATTTTAGTACACAGAAGCTCCCCAGTGCCCATGGAAAGGAAATTTCTGAAGTAGAGGCTGGTAAAGTTTTATGGCTTCTCCTATGCATTGGGGATTTAAACTAATGCTATACTTAAAAAGCAGCTTGGTTGAGAAGAAAGTTTCTTGGATCACAGAAGTTAAGCCTGGCTAATTGGAACAGGTAATAGGACTGGGCCAAGTATCATCTCCACCTGTAACACTTGTGGGTGAAGAATGACCTCGGTCTACTTGTAAAGTTGTTTTTAGAAAGACTGATGCTGTCTACAAGCTTTCCTCATGGCAGGAAAGTTTTGAGGTGAAGCTGAAGGAGGACACTGTCAGGGATTCACATAGCCAGTGGGGAGCTGAACTGGATAACCATGACATTTTATAATTCCATGGATCGAGGATGCTGAGTGATTTTAGACAAGTTTGTCTATGCATGGAAGATAGTGCTCCCATAGCAGGTTCACTTTGAAGTTGTGAAGGTAAACAAGACCAAATGTGATTCTATGAAACATGGAAAATGCTTACTATATTCATAATCCAAAAGACAAACACTGTACAGGTAGTCATGCAGTTCTAAACATACACCTACAGCCCTCTGTCAGGACTTCTCTCCCTTTCTCTAAGAGTGCCATGACATTCCGTAAAGTCCTTTGCAAGTATAAAACACTGTGTAAACAGCATTTGAGAGTACCATAATACAGCCAACTTCCCTGCTGTTAAACCAATGATGGCACACAGGAGCCCAGCACTGACACTAGTCACTTAATACTCTGATTTCAAGAGTCACTGGTTAAATTTGGAAGGAAGCAGCATGATTACACAGTTCACTGGGAAGATAATTAAATCCCTTGTATCCTCTTGGTTTCATGACATTGCTTACTCCTCTTGAGTGCTTCCTTTATGAACACAGGCAGGATGCTCTTTGGATTTGTGACAGAGTACACCATGGCTTCAAAGGGTGCCAATGGCTCTCCACTCCACTGTGTTTAAGCAGTTTCAGTGACACACATTGACTGCATCCAGAAATGAAGGCTTTGGGTTGTGCAAGGTGCTCCATAACCAGAAGAGGGCAAGATAATAGAAATGGGATCATCTGAGTCTGCTAAGAGACCTTGCCAGAGTCCTCTAGGGGAAATACACATTCAAATTTCATAGAAGCAGGAAGGTAAGTTTTAAAATACAAAATTCTATTAAAATACTTTACAAAGTAAATCACGAAAGTGATCAATTATGTCTCAGTGAAATAAGCCAATGTATATTTCTCAATATATATATTTCAGTATATTATTTCTTATTCTGATGTTGTGAACAGACATATGATACTATCTAAAGATACGCTGTCGCAGGAGCTGTTCTGCATAAAATGTAACGCTGCTATAAAGAATGTAGAAGACAAAACACATATTACCATTTGAAATCCCTTTAGCCATTTTTAAATCACTGATAAGAAGATTTGGAAAACGTGTAGTGGGATGCGTGACACTGAGTGAAGCTCCTCCACAGAACACAGACTTACTCTCTAATACAAAGGGTCAAGGCGAGCGCCTAGAAAAGTTCAGGCAGCACTTTAAAGAGTAAGCACCTTAGTCAGCCTATCTTCGCAATCCTTACAAACTGAAAACAAAGGATAAAAAAACCAAACAATTCCCTGGGTTCTTGTCCACAACAGGTGGTTCTGAGCTGAAAGGGACCACCATGGACCACAGGATTCAGGATTGTGAGAGAAGCAGCTGGTGAGACTCATGAACTTTGTGTCTCATCTTGACTTCTGTCTTGAGGAGTGTATGGTCACTGCAGGTGAGTTTCACAGTCCAGGGATCTCAGTCAGCAATCCTGCTCTGCCTCCCATTTCTTGGACGCTCACTCTGAAATCATTGTTCCATCCCAGTTGGACAAAAAATATTATCAGAGACAGATGCTCATCGAAAAACCTCAGGTCTTATCCACATAGGTGCCAGAAGTGGCATTTGTTTCTAAGCAGTGGCCATATGTACCAAAAGGGTAGGCTAACTCCAGTCATCTCACGGCTTTTGCTACCAAACTGAAGGACATGTACGGCAAAACATGAATCAGGAAATAATAAAAGTGGCCACAGGGAACTTGGCTCCTTTTATAGTAACTTTTGGACAGCAAGGAAAGGAAAACTTCATGGTTTACCTTAATCCCACAAAATTATCGAGCCCCCAGCCCCTGAGCCCAAGGTCTGAGCCCAAGACCAAAATCTCATTAATACTCTGAACTAATCAATGGCAATAATGTTCCCATCTACTACTACACACTGGACCTTTGGATATACACAATATTTACTCTTCCTGGGACCTAGGCCAGACTCTGAATTGTTGGAAGATACACTTATGTGGTCTGGGGAAATGGCAGAGAAGAGAGGAGAAAAGTCATTTAACTGCATGTTTGAAAGATGTGCACACCCACTTCTCTACAGTGCCTTCCAAATTCCAGTTCAATGTCACTTCCCTGTGAGGCCTCTCCCCACTTATAGAATGTTCTCTCCAAAAGTATGACATTCCTCTCTCTCCTACAGCCTTAATTAAATTGTGTTTTCTTTTGTTGTTGTTGTTGTTGTTTTTGCTCACTTACATCTCCCATACTTCTCAAGGTCAGAGACCACACCTCAGTCCCCATGTAACCAATGTCTACAACAGCACCTGCTTCAGAGCAAGTGTGCTAGAAACAGTCTGAATAAACGTTATATTTAAATGATGTGCAAGTATTTATGTTTATATGTATTTATGCTTTGTCTCCCTAAATAGTCTGTAGGTTCTTTGCAGCTATGCTCACATTTCTCTGGTTCATTGCCCCTTCCAGAGTCCAAAGCACAGTGCTTAAGAAACAAGAGGTCGTCCATAAATCTGCTGATCTGTAAAATAATTCTCTAAGTAGGGACTCCATTTCTCATCATAGACTAATTAGCCTTCATTTTCTGTGACAATTTTAACTCAAACCCATACATTCATCTTTATTTGTTTTAACCAGATCCATATTTTGAACCATAACTTTATATTCTAGAGTCAGCAAGTAGCAAATCAAATAACTAAACAGAACAGTCTGACAGGATCAGTGTGTGTCCTTTCTCTCCATTTACAGTCATGCTTCCTGTGACCTTCTTACTCCATAGGCTCTATTCAGCTTACATTTTAAATATAAATTGATCCCTATTTAAGTTAATTTGTATGGAGGGGAGGGAGGCCTAATAATTGCTAGAACCTCTTCTTTCACTACCACTTATTTTTTATAATTTATAGTACATGTGTATATATTTACAATTTTGTTTTTCAAAGGAACTCTAATTCTCAGACTAAACCTTCAGATCGAACCTCACAGTTTAATACAATTTTGTCTTCTTGTATACTAGAATGAAACCTGTTAGAAGTTCCTGAAGAAAGTCACCTTTAGGACAGGTGACTCCCAAAGAGATGTCACCGTGTAAGGTATATAAACAAAGAGAATTCTTACTACTTACAATTTAGAATGAGAAGCAAAATTAAATTAGGGAATGAGTATGCAGAAAAAAAGACATCATTTCATTACATAAAACCAGAGAGTTCATAATATCTTTGTCTTTAAACTTGAGATTACTGAATACTTCCTCAGTAATCAGACATGGGTGTGCCACAGGGTAATCAATCTCCTGGTACTAGCCCCTTTGGGGCTGTACCATCATGCTGTCTCATCAGCATGGCCCTGACATAAAAAAATACAATACCTTCAGTAGGAGCTCTATAACTTCTGTGTGGACGAGTCCATGCACCGGTTCTCCATTGATGTGTGTGATAAGGTCTCCAGCCTTCAGTCCTGCCTGGCACGCTGGACTTCCTTCTTCTACGTTCTAAAGTCCAAGAGGAGAGGATATTTGTAGGCAAACAAATGACAACTCTAACACCTACTGTGTCTTTTGGAAGAATAATGAGCTAATTAGCAAATGTCCTAAGCTTCTAATAGAAAATCTAACAGGTATGGTTACTATTCCTGTTCTATCGTTATTCTAAAATAGTAAACTTTCTATGGTACTCAGAAATTTTCAGGTGATTCAGACTGAAAGTACCAGAGTCAAAAAGAAAAAATAAAAATGAATGACCAAAACATTTCATGTGATTTGAGAAGGTAATTTTTAAAAAGAAGGCTAGGAAAAAAATGAAAAAATAAAAGGAGGATGGAAATAGGATTGCCTTTGACTATGTCTACCAGCTTGGTATGTAAGAAAGAACAATCAAATATGAAAACTGGACAGAATGATGAGATACTCGTTTTTGCTAAATTCAATTCCACCGTATACATTCACGGATGGAGTTCTAAAAGGAAAATGAAACAGGTCCCAAATGCAAACTTAAAAGTAAATAGATTTGCTATTTATCAGCCAATCTATCCACTCTCCAGCTTGGCTGGAAATGAAAAATCCCAAGTGTGAGACATGCAGGTTTTACCCAGACGATATGGTGCACTGTATAGATGTCACTGTCTCCCACATACACCCGGATGGCTCGGATGGTAAAGCCGTAGTTCTTCCCTGAACTATGGATCACAATCGGCTGATGTGGACTGGCAGAAGCTGCTGAGGAATCTCGGCTGGGAGAGGAATCTCGTGAAGAGGAAGGGTCCGAGGACAGGGAATGGGGAGACATTGGACTTCCCAGAGGGGAAACAGCAAACATATCTGTAACGAAGAAGCCAGTCATCAAAGCCCATGTGGCTCACACAAGCATCCATGCAGGTAACCCTCACCCCATGAGCCCTGCTAGGACTGGGGGCACAGTCACAACACAAATCCATTTGTTTCCAATAGCCAAATGAAGACAAAGTAATATAAAAATGTTTCTATCAGTAACGAGGATGAATTCCAAAACTGTCAAACTTCATGAGTGTTGCTATTTTAACTAATTTTTCAGTTAGGAAAGAGAAAAAAATTTTTTAGTTTCTATGCTTATTAAAAGACAGCACAAAGATTACCTTCTGGCTGTGACATTTTAATGTTTTATTTTAAGTAAAGAAATAAATCATAGATGCATGTATTTCAAGTGTGTTTTCATGTGAAGACTGTATGTATTATATTAACAGATACTGGATTCCAAATTCTTCACTAAACAATTTTAACATGGTCCTTTTCAACACACATGGCCAGGAAAGCAGTTTATCAATTTACCAGCTGATTTCTACAATGCTATTGAATGAATACTGATTAAAGAATTTTAACTGGCCGGGTGTAGTGGCTCACACCTGTAATCCCAGCACTTTTGAGAGGCCAAGGTGGGCTGGTGGCTTGAGCCCAGGAGTTCAAGACCACTCAGGTGATATGGCTAAACCCTGTCTCTACAAACAATACAAAAAAATTAGCCAGGAAAGGTGGCATGTGCCTATAGTTCCAGCTACCTGGGAGACTGAGGTGAGAGGATCAACTGAGTCTGGGAGGTTGAGGCTGCAGTGAGCCGTGATTGTGCCACGGCACTTCAGCCTGGGCGACAGAGCAAGACCCTGTCTCACAAAAAAGAAAAAAAAAAAAAAAAAAGAAGGAAAGAAATTTTAATCAGGAAAACAATGAAGTGGTGACTTCTCTATAAACGAATACCATTACTGTGGTGACAACTGATTCTCTTCACATATTACTTGCAATTCTAATAAGGTCTCTGAGAGGATAATGAAGGTGAGATAGAGAAACCTGAAGAGAATCTCAGTGCATATTCGAAAACACCAAATCTACTGCTTTCTTTGTTTTAGAAGCAAACTGCTATGCTCTGAATGTTTGTGTCCCCCTAAAATTCCTATTTTGAAACCTAACCCCCAAAGTAATGGTTTTAAGAGGTGGGACCTCTGGGAGGTGATTAGGTCATGAGGGCTCTGCCCGTCATAAGTGAATTAGTGCCCTTATACAACAGACTGGAGAGAGTTCGTTCTTTCCTTCTGCCATGTGAGGACACAGAGAAGGTGCTGTCCATGAGGAACAAGCCCTCGTCAGATGCTGAAACTGTCGGCACCTTGATCTTGGACTTCCCAGGCTCCAGAACTGTGATCAACAAATTCTGTTATTACCTTGCCCAGTCTAAAGTATTTTGTTATAGCAGCAGAAATGAACACTTTTATTTTTAGTTCATATCCCTGTTTCATCTACATGAATCTAAACAGACCTTAACCAGTTATGTGAGACTGTCAGTGTGTGTGTGTGCACTTGAGAAAAGGCAGAATAATCTACAAAACATGCTGAGGTTTACACAGGAGCTCAGTTGGAGCCAGGCTACAAAGTTCCCAGTGCTACTGAAGGCTCACCAGGGTGTGGTGAGTTCCACTGTGGCTACCATAAGCTGAAAGTATCCATACTACCCACTATTTCAATTCTTGTGCTTGTTCAAAGAAGAGCAAAGCCAACTGTACCACAACCCATGCTCCTCCCCTCTCTGACTTCATGTAGCATCTTGGTTCTTTTCTGCTGGATCCCTTCTGTCTAATCAAAGGACAGGTGAAGAGACGCATGCTGGCAAGCAGGGAACTTCAAGACATGCAGGTGGGAGTAGGGCACTGTGGACACACACAGATCCAAACTGCTGAAAGGCCAGGCCCCCTCTTCTTTACCTTCTGATGGTCTCTCTTACCTCCCCAAATTGAATGATTTCCTTATTCTACCAAAGTATAGACTTCCTCACCAGCTTTCAAAACTACACTGGCCCATATCCCACTTACCTTCCTGTCTGTGCAGCTGCACCGGGACCATCATCTTCAGGTTATGAAGAGTCATACAGACTAGGGATACAGGTGTTTGTTTTATGGAGCTAAACGGGACACCTCCCAGAAACTGAATCTGCTAGACTGAGCACTACTCCCAAATGAGCATTTGTTTATGTCAAATTGCTTTTTGCACAAATATGAAATTTTAAAAACAAAAACAATCCCTTTTATACATGATCTGTATTCTTCCAAAAACAAGGCATCTGCAATATAACTCGAGTCTCTTGCTGTCATTTGGAGTGATATCACAACCATCAGGGTGTATATTTCATTTCTACCAGTGGGATTACTACAGACTTAGAGATCAGTAGAGGCAAAACCAGTTTGTGGGAAAATACTACAGTTCAACAAAACTTCAATTAAGCCCAGTTTTCCAAAACAGGGCAGAAGATGGTTTGCTACCAGTAGGAGGAAGCATAGCTCAACCGACAGGGTTGGGAAAACCTAGAATTTCAATGCTGTCTGTGACTCTATCTCCAGAATGAAAAGCTTATATTCTGTCACTATTTTCCTCATTCATTAGATGAGAAAAACTATATACTTAGCTTTCCAACACAAATGCTGTAAACAGCTCTATAAAGTGTATCAATTATACAGTCTAGAGAAAAAAAAAATTATTCAAGGAAGGAAAATTTATCATTTAACTTGGAGGGAGAAAAGAAAAGGAAAGGAAACAAAACAGAAACAAGCTTTCATGGGAAGGAAGCCTCTCTTGTACAAACCCTGATGCAGAAAGTGAGATGAAATAGGCCAAAATGCTCCTTGGGGGCCCTACAAATCCTGCAGGAAGAATTCAGAGTCTGCAGGCAGAAGCTCTCAAGAGCTGTCCTGGGACATGACCCGTTATTACTTCAAGCAATCTTGCATCTCGTTCAGCATTCCAAATTGGGAGAGGAGGGACGGGACCACATGCACAAATCACACAGTTTCATGCAAGTAGTATCTCTCTACCTCCTGGGATCATGAGGGACAGAGCACTGGCAGAGAGGGACTTTGTGACTTTCCCAGAGATTTTCTTTTTTTCTGTGCTTTCTAATCGCTGTCGAGCCATGTGAGAAGCGGGTTCACTGGATGGCTTTGAGGAATTATCTGTACTGTCCACACACTCGCTTCGTCCATTTATCTGATCCAAGTGCTCTGAAAAACTGCCAACTGTACAAAGAAGAAGGGATAAACACGTTCAGGAAAATCTAGGATAGGAGAGGTGGGAAGAGGGGAAGAGAGAGACAGCAGGAAGAGTAAATGCTGGAGAACATACTCCTATGTGGCCAGTAAGTCCCGACAGTGTCAGGCGAACATTAACAACATGTGATTGGTTTGAGAAAGGTGACGTGGAGAAGGAAGAGATGGAAGAGGCGTCTATTCAGGCTTCATTCTACCTGTACACATGTCTGCTAATTCTCAATCCATGACTCCATTTAACCAAAGGAATTAGTTTCTTTCAACAATCTATATTTTTGAAACCTTGCAGAGACAATTCTGGTGCCCCTACCACCCATACCATGAAAGGCTGTGCTATGAATCAAAGATTACCTCCCAAACACCATGGCCACCCACTTCATACGGTGATTACCTTATGATACTGATTATCATTATCAAGGCTGTTAATCATAATTTTGACACGTGGACATTGTTTCATCACTCCCCGTAGGCTTATGCCTGTGCTCTTAGAACACACCTCATACTAGACTGAGGCAAGTAACTGATAGAAAAGTGCCTAACGTGTCTCTTCTCGCTTCTCAGGCTGTATGCCTCCATTCTAAGCTCCCTGTACATTTCAAACGACAAGCAAGACAAAGGGGATATTACTCTCTTCATTACTCAAGCTCACTTCATCCTCCTGGCTTTTAATCCAGCGTATCAAATGCTGATCCTCCCTCATGCTATTTCCTCTCCCCTCTAAACCACACCTTCTTTACTTTTAATTTTGCTAATCTTTAATATAAACTGGAGTTATTTTTAACTTAAAAAAATGAGGACTTCCCTCAACAATGGAGCATAAGAGAGGATAAATATGGAGGTGGGTGCAGAAATGGAACATCACTGATGCTGGTCCAGTGAATGCAGAGGCCGAGAGTAAAGAAAGCTCTGCAGCAGGGTGACATGTTGAGTCCCCCAGAAGGAAGCTGAACAGCTATTCCTTTTGATTTGTCCCACTCTTTCTTTCCCAGGTTATTGGTCTTCTATCTTGCTTTTCTTTAAAAACATCATTGATAGCACATTTTTGTCCATCCAGGAGAGACAATGCTCATCTCATTTTTACTTCTAAATGCTACATTATAAGTCCCATGCTTAAAAATCTTCAACTGCCTCATCACCTTTAGAGATACAATCCATGCAGAGTATTTCACACCACTATAAACGATCTTTTGAAAGAGCAGCCAGCACATTTTGAAGTGCTGACCATATGACACTGTTTGCCTAGGAAAGAATTAGACTTAGACTTAACCAGCATTTCTCTTACATTGCCGTCTATACACCACTTAGTGGTACGGTTGTAGTTTGGCCCAAGCTCATGGACAAAGTTCAGACCTTACAGCTGTGGTCTAGCTAAGGGAAGCTGGGAATTTGGACAGCGGCTTTAGGCATGACACACTTTGTGGTCATCTACTGTGCGTATGTACAGGAAAATACTCATGGACTTACACATAACACCCATCTGACCAACAAAGGGAGATAACGTTAAAGCAAATATCAATCTTTTTACTACTATAAGATAAGATCATTCTCATTTAACAGTATATTCCATTCTGTTACAGAAATCAACTACTGAAGGTCTTGATAAAAACTGCTTCGCAAGTAATAAATCTCATCTCATAAAACTGAAGCTTCCCTTTGAGTAAGGTATACACTTGCTTCTTTGTAATTTGGTTTGGATGGGATCACTGACAAGTCTAAAATGAAAAGTTGAATCTCTTTACAATGAGTAATTGTTGGATACATTCGACCCCTACATCTAAGACTTCAAGACATTTATTTTGCATGGCTTCAAACACAATGTAGTCATGATAAAAGAGAAACAGGTATAAAGTTGTACTTCCCTAAATGCCAGAGTGTGGATATACAACCGTGTGTTACCTCTCCCCCTTGCCTCTGCCATCTCACTTTGCAGCACTGCATATAAGCGTGAGCTTCTTTTCTACCAATGGCAGATAATGTCACTTTAATGTTCTCTAAATGTCAAGGGTTCCTTCTTTTTGGTGGTGGAGCAATATAAAAATCAACAAATTTAATTTTACTACAGTCACGGTTTTCAGACTCCCTAATTACCCTTGGCTATAAGCAAATCAGCTCATCTCTCTATTCTGCACAGCCCCCAAGGCCTTTGATTATTTTTAGTGTGTGTATGGGGGAGAGAGAGAGAGAGAGAAAGATGGTGTGAATCTATTAATCAAAATGCATGGCAGGACCTAGGTGGATTTTTTTTTAATTATGAAAGTAATCAATCAAATGCTTAGACACGATTCCCCTCCCTTCCCCTCCTACTCTTCCAGTAGTGAGTAGGCTGAGGAGACTAAGAGATAGTAAACAGTTCACTATATTCAGAATAAATTTTAAATCGAGGTGAATATACACTATTCAGAGTAAGGTAACTAAGAACCAGATAAAGGCTTTTGTAACCAGGAACAGAAAATACCAAGATACCTACATGTGATCTGAGCATCAACATGAGCTAGAGATGGTCAAGAATCTTAGTCTAACAGGTTGCCTTTACACTACTTCCTCATTGCTGTTCTCTTGGCTTTATGGTTAGGATAAGTGGAATTATGCAAAATGAAAACAGAACTGAAGTGAAGAGAGAGAAGAAAATCTAACATTATTTTCCTCCACAATAAACTATAAGCACATGTGAAGCTTCACAGATCCAAACTTCTTAGTGAGGTTGAAATAAATCCAGTCCATAAAATTTGTTTTTCTTGAAATGATTAAAAAAAAAAAGCTTACACTATGAATATTCACTTAGTTTAAAAAATGTTGATGAAAAATCTTGGAATCATTCATGGTTATCAATACAGCATATTGAATGTAGCTTAATGAAAACATTCATTATAGCAATTCTAAGCCATATACATCTTTTACTTTTTGAAAAAGCATAAATGCACATACTCTATAGAAGAACATGCTGTGCATAAAATTTTCATAAACCAAATGATACTTTAAATGAACTTAAGAGGCTTGTTCTGGGGCAGTTAATTGCAAGTTTGATTATCCAGTGAGGATACCTCCATTATTAATGACCAGCAAGTATCCACGATATATTAAGCTCCTTAAAAAATCTGTGAAGACACTGTTCCTCTTGTCAGGAAGGTTACATCACACAAAGGTAACATTAAAAAAGTGCTTTCAAAGGCCCAAGCCCACTTAACTGCCTCCCAAGCATGCAAAGATGTCTCAGGAGTTTCTTACTCCAATTACCCAGAGATGGGGAAGGTAACTTTTGTCTTCAGTGGAGTTATTTCATATGCACGTAACATACCAATTTAAATCATGTTGGTATTTCTGACTCCCCTTTCCCCTCCTTAGTCCTAGATGGACCAGGACAGCATTAAGTGTTACGCTGCACTGAGCCTGAGTCTAGTGTGGAGAGAGAAATTATTTGGTACAACATAACCCTTTAACAAAAGCCAACTCCATCAAAGAAACAACCATCTATTTCAATGCTAGAGAGAAACCTGGGTTTATACTGTGCCTTACGGGTGATTTAAGACATCTTCAAGGGTAATTTTGACAAGCTGACTACTGGATACTGGCTCTCACACTGAACTTTGAGTTAGATGCAACTGCATAAGACATACCTTTGCATCAACAACTGAGAACACACTCCCTTAGCATATTCTGACTTATTTCCCTCAAAAGATTCCCTGCAACCTGGCTGAGAAGGTGAAATTTGGCCCCAAGGTCAAACTGAAGCAATAATGGTTTGCTGCATGGCTGAGCACTGAGGAGCAGTCTGAGATATCTCATCTTAGATCTCAGAAGATCGTGTCCCAAGCCTAAGGACTGAGGTCATGGAGAAAGTCTAGCAGCGTAAAACACCCATCTTTACTGCCTGGCGAGGCCATCCCTGGGACTGAGCGCTAGGAGTCACTTAGTGTGGTGAGGAGGACAGCAGGCACTATGGCCCGAGGCTTACCTGACAGGGTGGAGCTGCTGATGGTGCTGGCTGGAGTGGTGACCTCGGGCTCCTCCTGGGCACTCTCTTCAGGGGGAAGGGCTGGCTTTCCTGGCTCCTCATGGGGGTCTCCAGGGCGGGAGGCAGCTTCATCTTGTTCTCCCTCTGTTGAAATAGCCAGTTTGGGAAGTAGGCCAGAACTGAGTTTATGTCTGTTGCTTTCAGTATCTGAAGAGTTGGATGTTGATAGCTGTTGCCTTAATTAAAAGCAAAAACAAAGTCATATACACATACTAGAAAACTGTGTTAAAGGTGAATTTTGGAAGAAACCAGGTGAAAATCGGACTTAGATAAGCCTAACCAAGAGATGTCTAGCACAGTGGTTCTTAATGTGTGGTACCCAGAGCAGCAAGATCTGCAGAATCTGGGTACTTGTCAGAAATGCACATTTTCAGGCCCCACCCGAGATCTACTGGATCAGAAACTCTGGAGGTGGGAGATCTGTGTTTTAACAAGTCTCCCAGGTATTCTGATGCTCACTGAAGTTTAAGAAACTCTGCTCTAGTAGCTACTGCTTATATTACTTAAGAGGCATTTCACATACATTTCAGAATATTCTGAACTCCAGCTCAGTGTTTCTGTGGATGGCAAGGTTGTGCTTTTGGTTTTGTCCCCAGAGTCTTCCTTCTCTTCTGCTGAATTCTGAGTGATTCGATCTATACTGCTGAAAACCTGGAAGGCAAATAATCGGTGCTTATTAATATCTACTAAAAAGAGTTTGTCAGAAAAACACTCCAAGTCTTGGGAGGAAAACCTGAGAGGATAACTAAATTCTGAACTGAAATTGTGTATTCAGAAAGTACTTTCCAGTGTTGTTGACCAGAATCCTGAGAGGAAGGGTCAGAGTGAGTGAGTGTGAGTGTGAGTGTGTACATATATACAAATAGGGAGCTATGAATTCATCATCCTCTCATCATATCTTGTTGCGGACTTTGTATCTGCAAACAAAATCCACAGATGCAGTGGAGTTCTAGGCCTCGGGATCAATGCACATCTTGATTACTTTTTAACCATGAAGTCAACTGGAAAAAGAAAATAACAGAGAAAAAGATTTAATGGCCACCAGTCAGGGGTAGGAAGAAGAAGAATGAATTGGAATTGAGTGCCAACAGAAGAATAAACTATCTGTTTCAAGACTGGGTGGTGGTGTGGCAGGGATGCAGTACATATTTTGTTGTAAGAGCCAGAGGTATTTGTTTCGCTTACAAATCACATCTACAGACAGGCAGTTTCCTATGTTGGTGCCGGGGTTCCTGAAGGGGATCGGATCTCAGGTAAGCCCAAGGTCTCAGCTATCTCTGAACCTCTGTTGTCTCATAGGAAAGAGAGAAGGTAAAATGGGGGTCTAAGAGCCTAGGGTAGGAAGCACTCCCTACTGCCCTGCTCAGACACTTGCTGCTCTCATGGGAATGGTCCTGAGGCCTCCTGTAATCTACTAGGAACAGCAGGAAAGTGGCTAAAGAACAGGAGACAGTGGGAAAACCCAATACCCACCAAGGCAAAGAAGGAAGCAGTGTTTAGGGGTTGTCTTTGTTGTCTTTGATGGCCCAGAGAACAGTCCTGGTCTGAGTCCACACTTAGCAAAGTTTCTGTCCTGGCTCTAGGACAGACTGGCTACCACCTTCTCCAGGGAAATCCTTACCTCAATGCCATTCCCATAAACAGGGAGGGTAGTGCTGGCCAATTTGCAGGTGCATCTAGGTAATCATTTAGAAAAAGCTACAGAGCACTTTAAAATCACTAAATGTTATAGAAAAGCTAAACGACAATCATGCAAAATGCCATGGCAACAGAAAATATGTAGCTACTGAAAATAGCAAAAGGGAGGTAGGGTACCCTCACGTTGATTTCCATTTTTCCTAGGGCCCTGTTCTGTCTCAGAACTATCAGTTTTGTTTTGATTAATTATTTTTTAAATCTTACCTCTTCTGGTAAAAAGGCATCTTTCTCAATCATCAGCTTTATTATCTTCTACCATTTTCATGATTCTAGCTTGGCTTCCTACTGCCTTTTCAATATGGCTTATAATTTCTGTTTACTGGTTACGAGTCTTTTTTTTTTTTTTTCCTTTTTGTGGAGAACAGGAACTCGCTATATTGCCCAGGCCGGTCTCGAACTCCTGGGTTCAAGCTATCTTCCTGCCTCTGCCTCTCTAAGTGCTGGAATTATAGGTGTGAGCCACCATGCCCGGCAGTTACGAGACTTTACAATCTTACAGTCAACTGTCCCCAGGTATCTTTGCTTATGTCAAGGACTGAGCCTTCTCCTTTTGTTGTACTCTGTGTAATCCCTAGGAGATGACTCTGCACACAGTGAAGCTGGCGCTCGTCATCCTAAGTTAAAAGCAACGAGTGGTGCCTCTACAGCCTGGCATTGAGTCAGGTGAGACATTCAAGGCAAGGTCATCATATAAGTAGCAGTTACACACTCCAAAGACAAGACTTTGGGTGCAAGGCTATGCCCCTAAGAAAACAAGATCTTAATTCATGGAGAGAGAAATATGTTTTCACAGTAGCATAGGGACAGAGTATAAGTTGAGGGGATCCCTTTTCTTCAACAAAAAAGGAAGTTTGGGCATAGGAGACCTCAAACCCTGGAAAAGAGTAAGTGTCCAGCTGTTCGGGGATACTATCTGGCCAGCGGGAGATCCTCTCAGAGAGACTCTGTATGTTTATGCCACATTTCACTTACTTTTGAAAACCTATGTGAACATGAAGAAAACTGCCTTATTTCCACATTAAAATCTTCATCATTTGTGTCGTCTTCTTCCTCCGTTTCCATATGATGATACTTCTCAGACCGAGCTGCAGTGAAATGTTTGGGAACAGGTCCAATTACTCAGATTTTCAGTGTTTAGATATTTTAATTATGAGTTTCTGTATCGAATCAGCATTATGTTTAAGAGCTCAGAGATATGAAGAGTTTCAAAAGCAAAGGTAATTATTTATCGAGTAAAGGCCAAACAATATTTTATGGCAGATAAAGCACATACTATCAAAATAACTTGTGTCATCCTCAGATTCCAGTTGGGGAATAAATTCTGCCTTCTGTCTCAGTAAACTGTTCCAGTCTAAAGAACGGAAGAATCGATGCTGTTTGACTTCATATGCACCACCTGGAAGTGGGCAGGTAGAGACAGAGAGGAAAGTGTTAAACTATCCCCACTAAGCAAAGGCAAACATCAGTTTTTAACAATTTTGAAAACATATCAGCAAAGAAATACAGACATGAAAATCATACTTTTTCATTCTACAACCAAAGCCCCAAAAATTTTTCTGATAATTTGTCAGTGGGAGATGTGATGTTGCTAACAGCAGTTGCTATGGCACTGTTTTTCTTTGTTAGTTTTTTCCATGACTTCCTCCATTTTTCAAAGGTTAATGTTGTGGACACTTAAAATCACATTATGCTGAACCTGGAGATGTGGATAAATATTGGCCCACAGCAGACTCACTCAATAAAAACCCAAAGAAATTCTAACAAGGTGCAAAATGTGTTCACAGCAACATTTCCTCTGGAGGAGAAGTGAATATTGATAAATTTTTCCTAAATATTACTTATAGGGGTTACCATTCAATTTTATTGGATTGCTCATTAACATAGATAAGAATTAGATTCTGTGAACTACAGATTCGTAAGTAGGAAACTGACAAATCTGTTTTAAAGACTTTTAACGCCTCTAAAATATCAATCACCATTTCCAAGTTTTAGGCTTCTTTTTGCCAAGTCAGCATGATAGCATAATTCAGTGAAATGTTTTCAATTCAGTTCATAATTTTAAAGAGTGATTTTAAAGGACAGGCCATCAAAAATATGAATACTGTATCCCATATAAAGAGAAAAAGGTACACGATATAATATCATAGCATAAGAATCAGACCCCCGCCCTGCCACCAGCACACATACTGTTGGAGAGATAACAAAGAATCAACCCTGAAAAAACTCTGAGAGATATCTGAGACGTTAATAAAGGGTCTAATCAGCCTCCCTGCCAAAAGATCTCTGCTAGGTGCAAGTAAATGCCTCGTTCTTGTAATTGTCACCCAGGCCTCTCATCCTGTCCTCTGTGGGGTACAAAAAGAATAGGATGAGAAATGCCAAATTGAATACAAAATGGGCTGTGAATCTTGGTTGGGGGTTGCTGTCTGTGGATCAAAGATTGGACTCTGTCCTCATTGGACCCCTCTAGCATAAGGCATAGTGTCAGCCCTAGCTCTGAATCCAGCCAGGGCAAATTGGTGTTCTGAAAATGATGGAATGGAGTGAAAACATCAAAGCGAGGAAATTACCCAAAAAAGGGGGAAATGGATTCTTCTTTATAAAACATTTAATTAGAATCTTTACCCTATTCTATCCAGGTGGTTTCCACATTTCTAGCAAAATACTGAAATCTGACAATAAGCATGAGCAGCTACGACTGAGAGTCAACTTGTGACAAGTATTGCACTAGATGCTATGGGACAGGTATCTTGTTTCCTTTAATTAAATCATCAAATATAACCACACGAAGTGGGCATTACAACACCTTTTGTGGATGTGGAAATGAAGCATAAGCAATAAAACACCATGGACCATGATCCCCCAGAGGGTAAAGATTCAAGGCTGAACCTAGGCCTGCCTAAAAACACCCAGGCCCAACCTCAGTGCCATATATAAGGCGGAGGCATGCTTTAATTTGTTCCTACTTCACCATCTCTCTTGCATCGCTTTGCAAACAGATTCAGAACTGCCAATACTGGGGACCTGAGCCTAACAGCCAACTCATGTGTCTGTTCTACAGCACCTCTGCAGAGTCTCATTCCAGCCAACCATGCATCCTTGCTCTCACCTATCCCTAATCAATGCCCGTATACACAAGTGCCCATCTCATTTTCTTCTAGCGCTCTTTTACTTGGAGAAACAGAATACGAAAGCTAAGAGGGCTTAACTGTTTCCCTACCCAACATGGAGGTCGTCAGCACGGTGAGGATGTCGGATAGGGGAAGCCCTAGTTAGTGGTCCACAACACACATCTCTGAACTCCTAGTGCAGTGATGGTTCCACTAGACCACAATGACTATCACTTCAGCTGCTGCTCATGGGGCCATATCAACGGTCCAGCCCTCATGTTTTGGGTTGCTCAACTTTATCAGAAAAGCAGTTTCTCTAGGGCCAAGAGCTCAACCAGACTGCAGCCAGTGTCGGGGGTTTTACCCCACCGCCTGCTATCCTCTGGGACCCAAGTTGGTGAGAGCCTTCATTTCATCCCTGTAGACAATGACAAATGGGTCCTCCTCAAGGACTCACAGCCCATGGTTGATTTAGCTCACATTTTTCACCCTTTGGCCTTTGTGCCTCACTTATGAGAAGCTGGTATTAGTTGGTCCAGTTTCTCATGCACTTATGGAGAGATAAGGAAGAAAAGAAAGCGGGGTGGGGGGGAATTGGGGGAAAATGACTCCGGGCTAAATTTTTGGTAAAATATGGGTGATAGCATCGTGAGCTAAAAACAAATCACTCATGCAAATGATAGTTCTCATTGTAAGAATTCATCATGAAGGGAAAGGAAACATTATTCCTTGAGCTCTTGCTAGGTACTTAGTAAATGAACTAGATACCTTCGTGAACATTTTTGCATTTACTCCTCACAATAATCCTGTGAAGTATATACAACGCCCATTTCCATAGACTAGGAAACTGAGACTCAGGGCAATGAAGAAACTATTCAAAACATGGGTAGCAGTGACATCTGAGCAGCTCTGAAGTCCAATGAGTCAGGCTGCCACTCAATATTCTACAAGTTCAAAAGTATAGTTCCAGTAGGACAAGCTCCCAAACTGCACGTTATGCTTTGACACTAACACTTTCCCTTTTCTCTCCTTTCATGGAAGTTTCTTAAACATCCATTATGCTCTTCACACCCTTTTTCTCAGCCTCTCTAATCTCTTGGGCAAATGTGCATTCGCACATTTTCACGGTGCATTATTTTGCCCACTAAATATGCATTAAATACAAAATGCTGTCATTGGGAGCAGCATGGCAGGCCTGCGGGATTCTCAGCCTCAGGCTCTGGGCCCTACTGGGACCTGTCATGTTGGACTGGCCTGTTTGGCAAGCACTTGACAATTCTAAGAGCTTGGGTAGGGTCTTTTAAATGTCTCTTCTGGGTTTCTGTTAGGAGATTCGTTCTTCAAACTGTCAAACCCTAAAAAGACTGAAAGTAGCAGTCAACGAGAAAATGTACAGAGAAGTAACTTGCAGCCTATGATTTATAAACACAGAGATGCTGATCATTATCACATCCTTGTCTAGTTAAATGAAGCCCAAACAAGAATCCAAGTTTTCCTGGAGGAGTAAATACGGGGCAGAATACAGGCTGAACATCCTTGGTCTGAAAATTTTAAATCTGAAATGCTCCAAAATCTGAAACTTTTTGAGCACCAATATGACACAAGTGGAAAATTCTACACCTGACCTCAGGTAACAGGGATTAAAACATATATGATGGAGCCAGGCACGATGGCTCATAAGGCTGTAATCTCAGCACTTTGGGAGGCCAAGGTGGGTGGATCAGTTGAGGCCAGGAGTTCAAGACCAGCCTGGCCAACATGGCAAAAACCCATCTCTACTAAAAATACAAAAAGTAGCTGGGCATGGTGGCATGCACTTGTGGTCCCAGCTACTCGGGAGGCTTAGGCATGAGAATCGCTTGAACCTGGGAGGCGGAGGTTGCAGTGGGCCAAGATCACACCACTGCACTCCAGCCGGGGTGACAGAGTGAGATGCCATCTCTAAATAAATAAACAAACCACTCCACCCACCCACCCACCAACCAAAAACCAAACAAAAAACACATATTATGGGCTGATTGAAGGACTAGGGCAGTATGCATTCATAACAGAACAAGAAATCATGTCAGTTTATGAACTTAGAAAATAATTTTAAGATAAAACTATTGTTAATGAGGCAGATGACTCTGGAGGAAATGTTTTAAAAAGCCATCCAGCAGAATGCCTCCTCTTCCCTAGAAGGATCTGTTTTTATCTTTATAATAATCCTATGAGGTAGCACTTCAAACATTTCCTTTTCACAAATGAGGAGATGAGCACTAGAAAAAGAAGTAACCTGTCCAGGGTCATACAGCTGAGATTTAAACTCAGGTTAGCTGACTGTGGAGTTTATGCCCTTAACCTCAATTTATATTGGGTTTTCAGGTTAAAAGTCCACTCACCCACTGAAAAAAGTAAAAAACGCACAAGGTGCTCTAGTGAGAGGCTCAACTAAAAGAAGTTTTCTAGTGAAGCCCTAATTTTAAGCCTTTTTGGATTCTCTAATGCAGGGTCTGCAAAGCTTTTGTGTAAAAGGCAAAACAGTACACATTTTAGTCTTTGCATGGCATACCGTCTGTCATGACTACCTAACTCTGTCCTTGTAGCATGAAAGCAGCCATACAATACCTAAATGAGTGGGACGTGGAGGTGTTTCAGTAAAGTTTTATTTACAATACCAGGCTGTGGGACAAATCTGGCTGTAGCTTGCTGACCCTTGCTATAACGCATTATCATAAACTCTAGTAGCACTGCCTTCGCCTACACTTAGGTAAGAACAGAGACCTCCAATAGGAGAATCGGTGGGTGAATGTGGAGAATACAATAAATATTTGTAGCTGTTTCAAATTTTTGTCTTGGAAAAAAATGGGGGAGAAAATGATTTCTTCAGTATTTTCTGTTATTTCTATTAAAATGGGGGTAGAATGAAACAGCTCAGAGTAAATAATCCATCAAGCCAACACTTTTCACTGATGAAAATTATGGAGGCTGGCTAGACTATGTGCATTTATATTTAATATTTAGTCTCATCTACATAAATTCACATACTCGGGCAGACTGGGACTCTATACTGGGATCGCTACGTCTGTCTATTCAGAATACAGAGAAGAAAAGGGAATAAAATGCTGGCAGAACAGTCAGAAAAAATTATCAGCAAGAAGCAAATCTACTATCTTGTTAATCCTGAAAGGCAGTGGTTTTTAATTCACTTTCTTGGGTCATGGTGCTCATCACTGTGCTGATCACTGTGACAGGACAGCATGGTTCAACCCCAGGCACTCATTTCTAGTAATTAGTCCAAGTACTGATAACCCATTTCAAAGCCTGTAGATAGTAACATGCTGGGTCAAATCCGTATGGGGATGTATATTTAAAGACAAAAACAAAAAGAGTTCCAAATAGCGAATCCTCTGTTTCAAGTTATTTAAGATGCATGCTTTTCAGGACAGAAGAGTTACATGTGCCTTTGAGGTTTTCTTCCAGAGAAGCTTTATTTATTGAAACAAATTAAGCATAATTTCTGCTTTGCCAAACACAAAAACAACAAAAAACAAAGACAACCAACCAACCCTCTTAGTGTACACACTGCTTTGAATCAGGAAACAAAATCCAAAATATTATTGCTATAAAGTGTTGCAGTCATGTTCTACATCAACTAACAGATGTTGCCTATGCAAAAGCAAAACAACAAAAGCTTCAGAGCGCTCCATGTAGACATTATTTCTTGCATATTAGCAAAATTAAAACACATGGGCTCTAACCTGTTCCCAGCCTCTCCAGGGGATTCTGCCTGAGGAGTAAGGTAATCAGATCCTGGGCATCAGGTGGGGGTGCCTCATCCTTCTCAGGCCAGTTGATCTCATCTAGAAGGAAGAAAAGTTGTTTATAACCGTATTGTTCACAAGAGGGTCCAGGTCCCAGCAACATGGTCATCACCTGGGAATTTGTCAGAAAGGCAGAATGTCAGGCCCACTCCAGACCTACTAAATCAGAGTCTGCATTTCAACAAGATCTTCAGTCGATTCCTAAACACAGTCATGTTTGAGAAGCATTATTTTATAAGACATAAGTAGCACAGATTTTTTACAAGGTAGGAAGAGAATATTTCAATAAGCAGATCTTTCATTTGCTTTTTAAATTCATTTTTCTTTCAAAGAATTGGCTTCCAAAAAGTTGCCTCTCTAGTTATTAAAAGACTTAAAATAATAGAAACTCTAAACACTTCCATTTCAGGTGGCTAATATATCCATCCAGGGATTATCTCAGGGTAAGATTTTTCTCTCTTAATTTCCTCAACTGAGAATTTGGCCACAGCCATAGAGTTCTTCAGCTCTAAGAAACAAGAAGTAATTTTGCAAAAATAACTATTTCCGGAAACAAATAAACAAAAAAGGTCAAAGTGCTAAGACTGAAGAAGAAGAAGAAATAAAAAAACAACACAAAGTAATCATAGTAATGGAAGTATTTAAAATCTGTCATAAATATTAAGAATACATTCTCATTCTGAAGGAGTTTGCCTGAAGATAGGTGTGCGTGCTTGTGTGTACGGAAATGCAATAAAAACATGAGTTATTTCTGTGTGTGCCTGCCTCTAGCTTCCTCTGCTGCAGTTTAAATCTGATTTGGAAAATACAACATGAATATGCATCTGAGCCGTAAGGCATCAAGAACAAAGCCAGCATTTGCTGTTTGTGTTAATTAAACAGTTGATTCCCTTTGCCATTCAGGCCTTAGTATATCAGAAAACAGCCTAGTTATAAATCCATAAACAGCTCAGATATTGTATAAAGGGGTCATACACTGCAGGCAACTCACAAATCTGCTTTGTTAAAGTTTACAAATATGCCTGGCTTGCAAAGTCAATGATAGAAAAGATTGCTGTGATAAAGCAGCCTCACATGCAAAATGATTTTTTCCCCTACTTCCATGCTGGACCTTGTAAACACAGTCCAAATAGACCGAAGGTGGCTGATAAAGATGTCAGTGACGCCTGACAAACTTTCAAGAAGAGAGACCTTTCTGATCTGTTCCAGGGAAAATTATAAAATCGGCAGGTAGGGTAGTGATACACCCTATTTAATTATCATTTAGTTTTGCCACAGGCCACATACAATAGTTAGGGTCAGCTTGCAGGTTAAGATCTGAAAGTTATTGAATTTTAAATGAAAGATGAACAGCTGTTACAGAAATAACATTACACCATAACAACTACCAATGAAATCATTAACAATCTGTGGATTCAATTTGCTGCTTTCCCATTCTCATCATTTATTATTTGGTAGACATTTGTTTTAGGGTTTATTACATTTTTGTTAATTTCTTCATTATGCCATTAGCCATTTTCCCCATTTATGTAAATGTTACCCACATTAACCTTTTCTTCCGTGGTGCAACTTTCCTATCATGGAAAGGAAGACTGGACGGCAATTAAATTGCCTGTAAATCCCACACCAATTTCCTTTGCAGAAAAAGCACACGATAAAAAATGGTTTTGTTGCTAGTACATTTCCAAATTCTATGTTAACGTAATTTCTTCAGATCAATTTTCAACAAAAACTGCTCTCTTGAGATTAAGAATGTCAGTTATATGCTTTGATGAGTGAGTTCTTTTAATTCGTTGGCTCAACTGCTTGATAAAGGTTAACATTTTAGTAGTAAAAACTGTGACACTCAACAGATTTACATTAAATAGCTGCTTCCCAACAGTGACTTAAAGATAACTCCTGATGATATTTACCACTGATGACTTGTCCAAATAGCTCTTCTGGAGTATCCCCAAAGAAGGGCACGCATCCAACCAGAAATTCATAGAGGATAATCCCCATGGCCCACCAATCCACCGGCTTTCCATAACCCTGCCTCAGAATCACTTCTGGTGCAATGTATTCAGGTGTGCCGCAGACCTAAAAGATAATTGCAATATTTGAATAATTGGAATATTAGACATGAATTAAAATGAGCAAGATGGCTAGTCACCAATTATTTTGCCCAGAATGCACCTGCTCAACCACATGGAATCACATGGACAAAGAACTTAAGAGCAACAAGTATAAAAAAGTATTTAAAATACCAAGGCAAAGAATTATTACCAAAGATGGGAAGTTTACAGTTCTGCTCTAATGTTAAATTATATGTAATGTTTACTTTCAAATTGAGAATCTGACCCTGTTTGGTAGTTTTACCTATTATACAATATTAAAACCACTTATAATCCTTAAATTTAAAATAATAATGCATTTTTAAGTTTGTCATTGTCAGAGAGAGTTTTAGTATCTATATGACCAAAATACATTCACACACAGGTTATTTCATAAAAGCAATGACAGTTGAGCTGTGTTTACCTTAAGTAACTTTACAATGAACAGATTGTGGGCACATGGTAATGAGGCATGCTTAAAGGGAAATGGGCCGTGGCTTGGATTTAGCACCCGTGATGGTACAATGCATCATGAGTTTCACAAGTACTCTACTGAGACTCCTGAATTCCTTACAAAAACAGTTTTCCATTTGTCTCTCTCACACTCTCACTTGTGTGCAATTAGATCGTTCGTCTTGCTAATAGACCATAATGTTGGGAGAGGAATGTAGAGGGAGCAGACAGTTCAAAGAGGCCCAGGGAGAAAAATGGAAGCAATTTGCACTTTATTAAATGTAAGGTTTATACAGACATCCAAACCACCAGCACTAATGTGAAGATGGCCCACACAAGTTGATTCTGAACTTCACTGGCAATACCATACTTGGTATTTCTCAATAAACTAAATGGCACCCAAGCTTACCTGTTTATCCAGGAACTCCCGAGCATCCTTCTCAATATGACCCTCATAAAGGTTGGTAGTCATGCTCATTAGTCCCACCTTAGATAATCCAAAATCTGTCAGCTTTATGTGCCCCATGGAGGTAACCAACAAGCTATGAGGCAGAAGGACATATAACACAATAATCACTTTATAAGCTGGTTATCTATTTTCATTTGCCCCCTACCCCCATCAATTTCTAAGACTATTTAATATATGGGCATCAAGCTTATTACAAAACCCAGCCTGGAAAGAGATGAAGTCACACAAAGATGTCAAATACTTCCATCTAGCAGCTGAGTGTAATTCACAAGGGAGGGCTAGAGACAAGGCGTAGCTAATCTTTGTTGGAGCAGCCACATACAGCATCATTTGTAACACTTTGAAACTTCTGGAAAAATTCGAGTATGAAACTCTGATCCCTTTCCATTTTCACATTAAGAAAATGAAAAAGAAAGGGCATATACCAGGAACTAAGCAACCCATTTGTGATACAAATGAGACACAAGATAAAACAAAACAAAACAAAACAAAAAAAACAGAAAAATATTGTTTCAGATTTCAACTTCCATCTCTAATTTAAATTTCTACTCATTAAGCACAAAACCTGTATTTCTTACACATGCAAAGAATCTGCAATTAAATATATTTAAAACTTTTCATTTTAAGTGGGAAAATAAAAAGTTTAAATAGTATATACAGTATTATAGTAATTTAAAAATTAAAAGAATAGAGGGATTTTTTTAAAAAGCTACTGGATGGAAATATCCCAAAATGTTATAGTTGTCTTTGGTAATATTGTGGATGGATTTTTTTCTCTTTTTTTTCCCTGAATTTTTCAAATTTTGTAGAATAAGCATGAGTCAACTTTACCATAAACTTTTCAGCACACTTAAAGTCTTTACATATTAATATGTAATGTTTTTAGAGGCATCTCAAATTAGTGGATAAAGCATGAAATATTTAATAAATGGTGTCAAGATGAATAGCTAGTCATCTGGGAAAAAAAGTCTATCTGTATCTCAGATCAGACACCAAAATCAATTCCACGTAAATTAAAAATTACTAAAAAATTAAATTGTGAGTAAAACAGAATGTAATATCAAGCACTTCATCTTGGAGTAGGAAAAGGTAATCTAAGTATGGCACCAAATAAAGAAACTATCTAGAAAACAACTAGTAGCATTCTATGAAGCCATTATCACATTTACATCATTAAAAAAAAAAAAACTTAAAAAAATTAACTCTGGCTTTATGATTATCTTTTTCTCTTGTTGCTGGTAAGTTTTTTTTTTTTGAGACGGGGTCTCATTCTGTCACCCAGGCTGGAGTGCAGTGGCATGATCTTGGCTCACTGCAACCTCTGCCTCCTGGGTTCACGCCATTCTCCTGCCTCAGCCTCCTGAGTAGCTGGGACTACAGGCCCACCATCACGTCCGGCTAATTATTTTATATTTTTAGTAGAGATGGAGTTTCACCACGTTAGCCAGGATGATCTCGATCTCCTAACCTCGTGATCTGCCCGCTTCAGCCTTCCACAGTGCTAGGATTACAGATGTGAGCCACCGCACCCGACTGATAAATTATTAATATAAGCATTGTGGGGGGTGGGGAACTAGGGGAGGGATAACATTAGGAGAAATACCTAATGTAGATGATGGGTTGATGGGTGCAGCAAACCACCATGGCATGTGTATACCTATGTAACAAACCTGCACATTCTGCATATGTATCCCAGAACTTAAAGTATTTATATATATATATTTATATATATATACACACACACACACACACATATGCATTGTATCCTCTTTTCTATGAGTTTCCTGAACTTCACATAAGCATATCCTTTAAAGATTTACATACAAATTACCATATATACTGTTAAAACAACTTACTTTGGACATTATGGAAGAATTTAAAAATGAACATTGCATTAAAAGGAAACATCTTTATAAACATACAAGAACTTTGTATTGGGCAAAAGAAGATATATATTTCATTTGTGTACATACTTGTCTGGTTTCAAATCCCTGTGTACAATTCCATAATTATGTAAATATTCCAAGGCCAAGACTGTCTCAGCAAAGTACATTCTGGCCATATCAACAGGGAGAGGACCCATGTTTTTCATTAAAGTAGCACAGTCTCCCCCTATAACACAGGAAAAAGAGTTAGTAGCTATAGGATCAAGGCTTAATGGAGAAAATCAGTTTAAACTGCAGAATTTCAAGGTGAAATCATTTCTACCCATAGACACAGCATATCATAGTCACAACTGGAGTCTGTGTGTGAACCTGTCATGTTTCTAACTAAGACATGGTATGCAGAAAATACAGATTTTTATTTAAGAAGTAGTATTCATAAGAGAGAAGGTTTGGCTCTGAAGTGAAACTGTACTTTAAAGAACTGCTAGCATAATTTTAGGATCATGGTAACAATTTAAAATATACCAGCATAAAACATGGATTCTAGAATCAGGCTACCTGAGTCCAAATTCTAGCTCTGCCTCTTACAAGCTGAGACATCCTAGGCAAACTACTCTTGGTTCCTTCATCCGTAATACGAGGATGTACGATGTCATCTTTGTTAGAATTCTTATGAGAATTAAATGAGATAATCTATATAAAGAACTTAGGATATTGCCCAACACATATCACATACTAAATGTGTGATAAATGTTAGTTATTGTTTTTGTTAAGATAACCACAACAGAGGTTAAAAAAGCAAAATATTGGTGTGGTAGAAAGAACATTAGATGAAAACAAGGCAAGCTACGTTTTTGTCTTTTATCTACCACTCTATCTAGTAAGTCTTCCTTTCTTGGACTTTATTTTGCTCATCTATGAAATGGAAAGGTTAAACTAAAAGGATATCTAATGTTTGAGTTTTATAGTTTTGGGATTCTGTTCAATGACAACTGCTTAAATTAGATACTTTGAAATTGCTACTGATCTATTCATCTTATTAACTTTATGTCAACAAGTCATGGTCACTTGAACTCAGAAAGTTAATGTAAAATTGATGGAAATAAGATTACTTGGAGCACTGAAAAGGCAGTCCACAAACCTCTTAAAGAAAGAAAGAAAAAAAGCTAAAAATCAGGAAGACTGACTTCATTTTCTTGAATGTACCTCCTTTTCCATTTTATTTCATACCATAGGCTGAAAAGAATATATATTTCTTTCTGTAAGACTAATTGTGATGAGTACTTTTATGATATGTAATAAAAATAAGTAGAAAAAAATCCCATCACCTATATTCCAACTTTAATGACCAACTGAGAGGAGGTAGTTAGGATTAAAAATTATTTAAAAAGATAAACAACCTTTTTCCAGATAGCACTAATTTTCCCTTTGTTATAGTAGAGCAGGCACTTTACAAGCAATTATCAGAAGATAATGACTGGGAATACAGCCATCTCATTTGCCTGGGCTTCAGTTCCTAGGTGGATACAGCCATTATGTGGCACAAATACAGAAAGCTTCAACAACACAAATGAGCAAGGAATTTCTGGGTACAGGCGTCATGTTCTCCGTGTCAGATACTGATATACCTTCCACATATTCCATGACCATGCACAAGTGGCGCCTTGTTTCAAAGGAGCAATACATGCTGACAACAAAGGGGTTTTCTGCAAAAGTCAGGATATCCCGCTCCACAAAGGCCTGCTGGATCTGGTTTCGAAGGATGAGGTTCTGTTTATTAATCTTCTTCATGGCAAACCTCTGCCGGGATTCTTTATGCCGAACAAAGTAGACTGCCCTGAAAGGGAGCAGAAGTATTGGGGTTGACAGGAAGAGAGAAAGTAAGGATGTTTTGGGGATACAGTAAACCATATAAATCATCAACTTTTTAAAAGTTCACACGGCAGGTGGAATGTAGCTCCCACAAGGTGGCAGCTACAAACATCCCATCCCAGGCTAAACGCCTTTGGCTAGATTGATTTTTTTTTAATTCTTTCAGTTAAAGGCCAAGGGTCATATTCAGGCATCAGATTCATCTTCACTGCTGAAGGAAGGAAATGAGCAGTTCCCAAAGTGAGCTATTTCCTAATAGCTAGCTGACATTTTCAGTTTTTCCACAAACACATCAAAATCTGATATATGTCAGAACAGGAAAGAATTAACAAAATTACACACATAAACTAGATCCTTTCTAGCATTACATACATATTACGCACTTTTTCTCAACCAACTAAAGCAATGATTTTCTTTTTTTTCCTTCTTTTTTTTTGTGACAGAGTCTTGCTCTGTCGCCCAGGCCGGAGTGCAGTGGCACACTCTTGGCTCACTGCAACCTCTGACTCCTGGGTTCATATGATTCTTGTGCCTCAGCCTCCTGAGTAGATGGGATTACAGTTGCACACCACCATGCCCAGTTAATTTAGTGTGTGTTTTTTGGTAGAGACAGAGTTTCACCATGTTGGCCAGGCTGGTCTCAAACTCCTGACCTCCTTGGCCTCCCAAAGTACTAGGATTACAGGCATGTACAGCTGTGCCCGGACCCTAAAGCAATAATTTTCTAAATGATACCCTTGGGATCTGCAAAAAACTCCACAGCTTCTTAGAGTATCTGGCTTCCAATTCAGAGACATTTACTTCCGAAGAAATTTCCAGATAAATGAGAAGTACATGTTTAACACATTATATGGGGGTGTCTTGCAACAAAGGGTAGCATATTTCCTCACTGCAATCCTCAGCATGTGCTACCCCATGGGCGTTTCAACAGGAAATGCATTTCTCAGCATAAGAGCAGGCCAACAATGGAGCTATATTTCTGTTCTCTCAAATTCATGGTCAAGGTGTCAGGGAACTTTACAACCAGACCAGGATGCACTCAATTTCTGCCCAAAGCCTCCCCCAAATACTTTATAGAGCCAATTATGTCTAGGTAAAGACAAGGGACCCACTGAGGCTTGGGATAAAGGAAATAAGAGAATTAGAAGGAGGAGTCTTAACAGTTCATCTGGAAATGATGAGCAACAAGGAACATGTCTTGGATGGGCTCCTTTGTCACAAGTCCTCCTCACTTGTCAATATCATGGGAGAACAAGTTTGAAATCTCCAATAATCAAACAAGAAATCATTTACCTGAAGAGCCATCAATCACAGTAAAGCATGTCCAGTGCCCACCTTATAAAACAGGTGGTATGTGATCTGAAACGGATTTTCCACTAGTTACTTAACCGTCCCTGAACAATGACTGCAAGGGGGCCTAGGACACCCTATGCTCCCGCTCAATCAATATATCAGGGTGATTTACTGACATAAATTTCCACTATATTCAATCCCAGTTTAATCAACGTTAACATTTTTCCCTTAAGTGTTCAGCTAGGAATTACTTTTTCTTTCATGTATGTGTATCTTTATCTCTGTCTTCTCATCCTGCTCATCTTTTTCCTTTATTCAGCAAATCACACATCTATATTTTTAAACATTATTATTATTATTATTTTTGCTTTGCTCATATTTTTCTTCTCTTCTCATTTCTTTGTTTTTCTAGTTCTTCCTTCACTGAATAGTAAAAAGCTTCTTCACCATACCTCCCATAATCAATGCACCAAATGATCTAGTGCTGTCACTCTCACTGTAAACTAGCCAGCTGGGTGCCCAGCACTTTCCACACCAACTGGTGGTACTCTTCAGTATGATCAAAGCCTTGGGCTCCCACCATTCTGAGTGATTCCCACACCTGTTTTGCTGGCTAGATTTGATATTAAGGTTAACTAATTTAAACAAATATTTGAACTGATGAAACATGAGTGTAAAAAGGGTAAGCACTATTGTTTATCAGAAAACAAATGTTTTAGAAAATCTTAATAAATGTGAGTTACTAAATTAAATTCCTGTTGATTTAATGTGGGTGACAAGATTGGCAAAAGTTGAAAAAATAACAAAAATCTAGATTCTTACATTCATATTGCTTCGAGTTCTTGTTTCACCATTAATGAAGGTAAAATTGGAAAACAGAAACAATGTATTGTAAGTCTGGTTTACACTGACTTTCTTGAAAAGGCCTTCCATCAACAGACTAGGAAATTTATGTATATTTAGGCTAAATTAAAATGTTTAAAACATGTATCTTTTTAAATTATTTTCTACTTTGACTAACTTTTAAATTAAACAACCAACTACTAGTTCTTTTTGTATCAGATTAAAGGCTTTTAGTATATTTTTCTTTCTTCAACTACTGATCAGCTACTATCAAGAATCCACAGATAACTTGAGTTGCTCCTAATCAGATGATGGTAGCAGGACAGAAATACAAAGGAGCACAGAAAATAACTTGGCCATCCCTCAAATAGAAGATAAGTATTGATATACAAATGTTGTCATTTGATCCACCATGGTCAAGTCAGCTTCATCCCTGGGATGCAAGGCTAGTTCAACATACGCAAACCAATAAATGTAATGCATCACATAAACAGAACCAACCACAAAAAACACATGATTATCTCAGATGCAGAAAAGGCCTTCAATAAAATTCAACAGCACTTCATGCTAAAAACTCTCAATAAACTAGGCATTGATAGAACGTATCTCAAAATCATAAGAGTTATGTATGACAAACCCACAGCCAATATCATACTGAATGAGCAAAAACTGGAAGCATTCCCTTTGCAAACCTGCACCAGACAAGGATACCCACCCTCACCACTCCTATTCAACACAGCATTGGAAGTTCTGGCCAGGGCAATCAGACAAGAGAAAGAAATAAACTGTATTCAATTAGGAAAAGAAGTCGTCAAATTGTCTCTGTTTGCAGATTACATGATTGTATATTTAGAAAACCCCATCATCTCAGCCCAAAATCTCCTTAAGCTGATAAGCAACTTCAGCAGTTTCAGGATACAAAATCAATGTGCAAAAATCACAAGTATTCCTATACACAATTAATAGACAAACAGAGAGCCAAATCACGAATGAACTCCCATTCACAACTGCTACAAAGAGAATAAAATACCTAGGAATACAACTCACAAGGGATGTAAAGGAACTCTTCAAAGAGAACTACAAACCACTGCTCAAGGAAATAAGAGAGGACACAAACAAATGGAAAAACATTCCATGCTCATGGATAGGAATAATCAATATCATGAAAATGGCCATACTGCCCAAAGTAATTTATAGATTCAATGTTATCCGCATCAAGCTACCATTGACTTTCTTCACAGAATTGGAAAACTTCTTTAAATTTCATATGGAACCAAAAAAGAGCCTGCATTGCAAAGACAATCCTAAGCAAAAAGAAGGATGCTGGAGGCATCATGCTACCTGACTTCAAACTATACTACAAGGCTACAGTAACCAAAACAGCATGGTACTGCTACCAAAACAGATATGTAGACCAATGGAACAGAATAGAGGCCTCAGAAACAATGCCATACATCTACAACCATCTGATCTTTGACAAACCTGACAAAAACAAGAAATGGGGAAAGGATTCCCTGTTTAAAATGGTGTTGGGAAAACTGGCTAGCCATATGCAGAAAGCTGAAACTGGATCCCTTCCTTACACCTTATACAAAAATTAAGATGGATTAAAGACTTAAATGCAAGACCTAAAACCATAAAAGCCCTAGAGGAAAACCTAGGCAATACCATTCAGGACATAGGCATGGGCAAAGACTTCATGATTAAACACTAAAAGCAATGGCAACAAAAGCCAAAATAGACAATTGGGATCTAATTAAACTAAAGAGCTTCTGCACTGCAAAAGAAACGATCATCAGAGTGAACAGGCAACCTACAGAATGGGAGAAAATTTTGCAATCTATCAATCTGATAAAGGGCTAATATCCAGAATCTACAAAGAACCTAAACAAATTTACAAGAAAAAAACAAACAACTGCATCAAAAAGTGGGCAAAGGATATGAACAGACCCTTCTCAAAAGAAGACATTTATGCAGCCAACACATATGAAAACAAGCTCATCATCACTGGTCATTAGAGAAATGCAAATCAAAACCACAATGAGATACCATCTCACACCAGTTAGAATGGCGATCCTTAAAAAGTCAGGAAACAACACATGCTGGAGAAGATATGGAGAAACAGGAACGCTTTTACACTGTTGGTGGGAGTGTAAATTAGTTCAACCATTGTGGAAGACAGTGTGGCGATTCCTCAAGGATCTAGAACTAGAAACACCATTTGGCCCAGCAATCCCATTACTGGGTATATACTCAAAGGATTATAAATCATTCTACTATGAAGACACATGCACACGTATGTTTCCTGCAGCACTGTTCACAATAGCAAAGACTTGGAACCAACCCAAATGCCCATCAATGATAGACTGGATAAAGAAAATGTGGTATATATACACCATGGAATACTATGCAGCTATAAAAAAGGATGAGTTCATGTCCTTTACAGGGACATGGATGAAGCTGGAAACCATCATTCTCAGCAAACTAACACAGAAACAGAAAATCAAACACCACACGTTCTCACTCATAAGTGGAAGTTGAACAATGAGAACACATGGACACAGGGAGGGGATCATCACACACCGGGGCCTGAAGAGGGGTTGGGGGCTAGGGTAGGGATAGCACTAGGAGAAATACCTAATGTAGATGACGGGTTGATGGGTGCAGCAAACTACCATGGCACGTGTATACCTATGTAACAAACCTGCATGTTCTGCACATGTACCCCAGAACTTAAAGTATAATAATGAAAAAAAAAAAAAAGAACCAAAACAGGGGGTTTTCAAACAGGAAATATATATTTCAAAATGAAAGTTAGAATTTTAAATACTGACAGGGAGAAACCAGTATCTTTGTATTATAGTTTGCCTATTCTGGAGAGTAAAGTGGCATACAGCTTATTATCTCTTCCTTCAATATTTGGTTTTGAGTAAGTTTACTGCTGAGGAGCCTTAGACGTATATTATGAATTTCACAGATGACCACAAGGTGGCCATTCTGATTTTCAATCAAGAATCACCATTTCTTACATAAATAACGACTCTGCAATATGTTTGAGAATAGGAGTGAAGGAAGAATGGACTTATCCATGATTTTATGAAAAAATAAAAGACAAATATGCCTCCGGCCCAGTATGACCAGCATCCTTACTGGGTCTCTCTGTGGCACTGTATAAAAAATGGCTTTAGTCTTTATTCTCAGATTATCAGTTCATAAAACTTTGTTTGACTTTCTGCTTTCCCTTGCTATGATGTACTTACAATAATCAGTTAATCCTTGGGAAAACTGACCTAAACCAATTTAAAAGAATCCTATAAGTAGCTTGAGATATCGCCGCCTGAGGACATGCATATCTTGATGAAGTCACAAGGGTCAAACAGACTTCCTTATTAGAATTAGTTGTGGGTGGATTTTTTGTTTGTTTTCTGTTCTTGGGTTTTTACATTTCTGTATTGCTTTGGGAATGTTACTCGTCATGTTGAAATTTGTTTATTTAGTAATAATTGTTGTGTGTATATATATATGTATGTATACCTTTTCGCTTTTAAGTTGATGTTCCAAATGTGCTTTAAGTTAGCAAAGAGAGAGAGAAAGAGAGAGACAGAGAGAAACAAGGAGAGATACGACAGCCACGGACAGCCAGATATATAACACTGTTGAGTGGACAGTAAACCTCCCAGTGTTAAAAGTTGTACTGAACTGACTGATATGGCTCCACATTTCTTCTCTGCTTTCTGGTCCCAGAGATTGTGCTTTCTTTGAAGAGGCTGCTTTGGTCTCTCTTCCTACGCTGACCTCTCTGTGAAACAGGAAAACCCAAGGGTAGAAGGTGGGGGGCGGGGAAGACGTAACCAAAGACCTTAGTTCTCTCTGAGCCAAGCTTCTCCCCACCCATGCAGAACTGAGGTGTGGGAGGGTGGGGAGAAGTGGAACTAGAAGCTGACAGGATCTAGAGCAGAATGAATCAGCCCTTATTGCGAGCATGAACGTCTAGCGTGTATAAAATTATGCACGACTCTGAGAGCCCAATACGTGACTCCGTGCTAGCAAATCTCCATGTGGGAATGAGGGTGCGTGTGCCAGAGGAAAGTTGAGAGGAAAGACTACAGAGAGAGCATGTGGGAGACAGGGCGTATGCCGCTTGTGCACATGTGCCTCTTTGAGACATGTCCCAGGCCCCTTCACAGGTAAAAGAGAATCATGTGCATCAAGATTAGAAGGAAAGGCAAAGTAGGGGAGAAATGGTGCGCCTTTCAAAATTAGTTTTTTACTTTTAAAAATTTTAAGTCAATTTTATTCTTTTACTTTGAAAACATCTGAAGTTATGACTTAAAGATCCTGGTGGAAGTGTTCACTGGAAGAAGCAGTACCTCTACAACTCCAATTAGGATGGTTAAACATTTTAACAAATGGATACCTTATAGAGAGAAGAGAGTTCCACTTAGAAATCAGGATATCCGTGACTCTGTCTCTGCACCTCTCCTTGCCTACATGTGAGTGGAAATAACATCAACTACCACACAAGGGCTCTTGTGAGAAGAGAACATATATAAAGAAACCAGCACAGTGCCAGGTACATAGCCCCAGCTTTCTATAAAGCACTAAGTTGGCAAAAAGACACGTTTAACTTCCAGTCAGGGATCAGAAGTGTGTTACACAGAGAAGGAAATCAGATGTTTATCAACTTGGCTTTATAACATGAATTTTCACCAAGCATAATGCTGAGAAAGCCATGTGTGTTTTAGCACTGCAGATAGAAGCCCTTTCTAATGACAGGGTTAGTTCCCAGCTCCACCAGTTTTTGAGGAGTCATGGAATCGGTGCCTTTCTGAGTCACTGATGTGAGTGGTAGATCCTGTGCGTGGATACCTAAGGAAGCCTCTAGAAGGGCCAGTTCAGCCACCCATAGGGGGATACATTTGTTCAGCCAGTTCCCATAAGCCTGCAATCACCCTCACTGACTGGGTGAACCAATAGGGGTGGTTCCATTCAAATTTCAAATTAAAGATTATTAAAATGTGGAGAAAATCTATCAGAAATAAAATGAGAGATTAAATCTGAGATGAGAAAAATAAAAAAAGAGTTTTGGCTGATCAGCAGAGACTCCCACAGGCAGCTTGTGAGTGCATTAATGACTTGGCCTGCATCCTGGGTGTTTACTGATTCACAGCTTGTTTAACTTCTTGTATATTCCCAACTATTCCCCAAAGTGTGATATACCTCATCTACTATACAGTGGTTTAATCGCACTACAAATGAGTTTACTCAACCAGTTAGAACTCCAAATACTGCTAAGATATATGCCCGCATTTTTAAAAGTGGTGCTTCACAGATAATCTTATTCCAGAATTCCACTGCTAATAAAATCTAGCAGTGCTCAAACCCATATACCCATTAAATCAAAGTTTAATCTTCTCCCTAATGAAGAAAGAAATCTTCAGGTCATTTCCAAAAGTGTAAAGAACTAAAAAACAAATGATAAGCAACTAGAAACCACAATGAAATGCATGCTAGAACCATCTTCCTAGGTAGAAAAGTTTCAATGAGGTCCTTGAAAAATAAAATATTGCAAAAATACATCAGAAAGCATTTATAAGCCACAATAGGAAATACGGCATTTGACATATCCTGAAAACAAATCAGTGAAGCATAGAAGGGACTCACAAATATTTAAGTTCTTAAGTTAATGGTGTGGAAAATATTCGAGGCGAAAAAATGGTAACAGAAACATCCCTTGTGGCACAACAAAAACCTCTTTTATTTCATCTGCTCATTTGTGTGATAAACAGCAATAAATGTCTATGAGATTGTTTATTGCTCTTTATATACAGATAGAATTGGAATTAATATTTAATTAAACTAGAATTCTTGGGCTGTCTAAACTGGATCAGGTTATAGTTTGTGCATTAATTACGCTTCTAAACTATTAGTAACTCAGAAGAATCCTGTCACTGTTTACCGCCACAAGGAGAAAACTGTGTGTCTATAAAAAGGGATCAAGGAAGGAACACCATTAATATCATTAGATTATAGTATACAGCTCAATTTTGAAAATCCCGGTGTAGGAGTTCGAGGCTGCAGTGAGTGAGCTATGATTGCACCACTGCACTCCAACCTGAGGGACAGAGCAACATCTTGTCTCAAAAATAAATAAATAAATAAATTTAAAACAAAACGAAATAAAAAAAATCCTGGTGTAATAAAGACTAAAACAAACATATTACTCTAAATCAAACTTATCCAACCCACAGCCCATGGGCCACACGCAGCCCAGGATGGCTTTGAATGCAGACCAACACAAATTCGTAAACTTGTTTAAAACATTATGAGTTTTTTGTGATTTTTTTTTTCCAGTTATCAGCTGTTGTTCATGTTAATGTATTTTATGTGTGGCCCAAGACAGTTCTTCTTCCAATATGGCCCAGGGAAGCCAAAAGATTAGACACTCCTGCTCTAAACCTTCAACCAGACTTATTTAAAGACATTTATCTTAAGGTTGTCTGCTGGTCAGACATGAAATACAGGCTATTTGTCATGTAGTAATACTATACAGAAAATTATACATATATGATTATATATAACATACTATTTAATATATACATATATATCTCAATCAAGAGTCAGGTACTTCTTTTAACCCAGAAGGGCAAAAATGAAGGAGGCAGAAACAAGAGTAAATAAAATTTTTCCTTGAAAGTCTTTCTCTCCAACCGTCTTAAGTAACTACTTGGTCACTTGGCATGTTTTCTGATGAGGTGTCCAGTAAGAAGCGATTTTGGCTGTACAGTACAAGTCTCAGGGAAGAAGCAGTGATCTGAAAAGTCAAGTCCTTATACAGCATCTATTTGGCCTTAGATAAATGTGAAGAATAAATGTATTACTTGAGTGTGCAGAAATACAATAGAGAGCTTTTCTTGAATTACTCACCCATAGGCTCCGTTGCTAATCAATTTAATCGTTTCAAAATCACTTTCCCGAGGTTTCCTTCGAAGTTTCAGGGAGGCATTAGAGCTCTTGGAAACAAAATATGGAAGTTAAAAGCAGTTCAGAATTAAGAAAATTATTTTATCAGCAAATAGATAATATTTGAGTTAGATGCTGTTATATAATATGTGGAAGTACAGTATTTCAGCCACAGGAACCTGAGGGATAGCTTTACAGAGCCATCATCCACAGCAATGCTGACAAACTCCTTGTGACACTGTCACTTAAGCGAATCCACATTTCCAGGCAATCAAGGACAATTCCTGATATTAATTTCTTTTTGTAAACTACTCAGGTTGGCCTTGTCCTAGTCTTTTAACATTTTGGGATTTAACTCCATAATGCCAAGCTTTCCCTTTGGTTTCTGTCGGCCAAAAAAGAATGGGCCGGAGTGGCTCTACATAGGCTGTATCCCTGACAGAGCATGTCTCTTTCATTCCTGCGGCAATCTTCATTGCTCAGAAAAGTAGTAGGCAACACGTGGAACACCCAAGTACAGAATGCCTGCCTTTCTTCACTTCCATGCTAGAAATCTAGCACGGCTTACAAAACAAGTTTCAAAAAGACAGCTCTTTAAAAAGTTTAACTCAAACGATGGGAATAGAAACAAATGCTTACAAGAAATTCTCTCATGCCCCATTTATCTTAGCATGGAGAGGGAGTTACCAGCTCTTTGCTGCCCTCTGCAAGAGTCCAGAATTCCCTTCCTATTGTTTTGGAAGAAACCCTGTGTGGGCGCCATCATCCTCAACTCAGCACTGTCATCACTGACCCTGTCATCCCCACTCATCTTTGGAAGACTTGGCTACCCACCTTCCGCTCCGCCCAAGAGCTCTCTCACCATCCAGGGTGACTTCAGTGTCTACACATATAACCGACCCAACACTCTGGCCTCCAGACTACTTGACCTCTTCAACTTGAACCATCTGTCTCCTCTTCTCCCCCTTGGCCTCTGGCCAAGATCTGGATCTATCTAGTCATCACCTGCCAATGCTCCATCACAGAAAACAGACTTCAAGACTGGGACCACTTACTTGTTTAGTCACTCACTATTACTCTTTTAACTTTTTAATTCTTTTTTTATTTTCTTATCTACTTTGCACTGGCTCAGAAGGTAATTCACTCACTATTACTGCTCTTTCATGGCTTTGGGCTGCAAGGCTCTGTCCAAGGCTCTCTAATCTCATTAACTCTTCCCTACATGAGTGATCTCATTTATGTTCATGGATGACGCCTAAGTCACTTCCACCTCCACCAGAAACTCTCCCTCTGAGTGCCAGAATATACCAGACCTTATATACAGCTGCCAGTTTGATGGATCTTCTTGAATGTTTCAAAGGAACTTTAGTCTCGATACATTCAAAATTATGAGTCAGATAATAAAATTAATAAAACAGCTATCATTTATTCAGCACTTACTATGTGATACTGTCCCAACCGTTTTACATAAAAATCTCATTTAATCTTTTACAAACAGGGAAACTGAGGCACATAGAAATTTCCCCCAAACCCCAGCTGGTAGAAAGCAGTGTTTTCAAATCTAGGCAACCTAACTCCAGAGCCTGGGTTCTTATCCCCTAGGCTACACAGCCTGCTCCTGCTTTCCTAATCCCTAATCTGATGCATCCTGGTTCCTCTTTTGGTGTTCACAATTGAGGAGAACGGCACCAGCATCCAGGGCCTCTCACCTGTGCCACAGCAGCAGCTCTGAACTGGCTTCCACGTGGTCACCCCTCCCTCCTCCTCCCACCCCACTGCTTTCTGCACTGCAGTCAGTGTGATTTTTTTCAAGTCATAACTCTGATTGGGTTATCTCCCTGTCCACTCCTCCCACCCTCATATACCCATACACCTCCTCCAAAGTTCAGTCCCATTGCTCTTAAAAAACAAAAACAAAAAACCTGACAAACATGAACAACAGGGACCGAAGTATCCAGTTTTTACTCAAGTGTTCTAGTTTCTGCCGTCTCCCTGGCTTAGTCCTCTGATGTAGCCTGTGTCTGGAATGTTCCTTTTGCCCCTTCTTACCCTAGTAATTTGTTATGTTTAGCTCAAGTGACATTTCCTTGGGAAATCTTTTGGGACTGGACAGACTATGGCAAATATCTTTACATTATGGTAGCACATGGTCTTTTTTCTTCATAGATCTCATTCATATTTATCATTTCTATTTTTTGCATGTGATTTTTTATTAAGTTTCATTTCTTTTTGAAAGAAGGGGCTAAAATTGTATGCTTAGTGCCTGGCACAGTGCCTTGCACACAGAAGCACAATAAACATTTGTTGAATAAATAAATGAACACAGCCAAAGTCTCCAGATGCTAAACAGAAAAACCAACATCATATTTCATCAAGAAATATACTTACACTCACTGATTCATCTGTTTCTGGAGTTTCTGCTGTTCCACTGTCGTAGTTTCCCAATTGAGCCATTTCTAAGTTAAAAAAAAAAAAAAAGGTAAGCTTAATAAAAATATTGCAATTGGATAAGAATACTAAGCTGAAACAAAAGAAAAATAGTTTCTCCAATATTAAAAAAATTGCTCTATATTCCAATGTGCCTATGGGAAAATCTTAAATCTAAAAAAAGGCAGCAACTGGTATTTTGAAATTGTTCACTACATGCCCCTCCCCAGAACCCCGTTTCTTGCAAACACCTAGACATAGGAACTTTAGAGGCTGGGCATAGGAACTCATTGGCTGATGCAATCACCATAGCTTGGAAAGGCTTTGGTGGGTCAACAACTCTGCTTAGAATCAGGTATCCGAGAGAGGTAAGTCTTTCCAGGCTCTGGCGGGCATCAAAGCAGCACTGACTACAGCTAGGGAACGATTCTTAAGTTGTGGTTCATATCTCTTGTTCCATTCCTTCATATCCACTGAGAAATACCCTGCCAAAGACACTAAGAGTTTGAAATTTGTCAGAGAGGAAGTAATAATGGTGGTTAAGAGGGATTTGGATATTAAAAGACTTAGGTTACCACTACTATCTGCATTTACTGACTGACTGACCTTTTAACTTCAAGCTCTTCTGCT